CGCAACCATCCAGATGAAATTCAGAAGTGCATAAATCACCGCTAGCCTATTCCCCTTTACCCTCCCTACACCCCTCCGTCCCTCCTTCCCTAATCTCCCTCCCACTCCCACCCTCATCTCCCTTCTCAGCTCACACGCCCTGCGCAAGCAAAAACAGGGAAGTCAACATCTTAGAAGCCGGCACCCTAAGCACTAGGGCAGAAAGCGACACGCGTTTGCATAAGTAGTTCGCATAAGCGACACACACTAGTTCATGAGCACGTTGCAGCGTGCTCATGAAGCTCTCTCATGCGCTCTCTCACGCACTCTCTCACGCACTTTCTCACGCGCTCTCTCACGGGCTCTTTCACGGGCTCTCACTAACTCTCTCACGCATTCTCTCACGCGCTCTCTCACGGGCTCTCTCACGCGCTCTCACTCGCTCTCTCACGCGCTCTCTCACGCGATCTCTCACGTGCTCTCTCACGCGCTCTCAATTGCGCCCTCTCATGCTCTCTCTCACTTGCCCCCTCGCGCGCTCTCTCTCACGCTCACTCACACGCTCTCTCACATACTCTCTCACGCGCACTCTCACGCGCTTTCGCACACGCACTCTCACGCGCTCTCTCATGCTCTATCTCACGCGCTACCTCACGTACTCTTTCATGCGCTCTCTCACGCGTTCTCTATCGCGCCCTCTCATGCTCTCTCTCACTCACTCCCTCGTGCGCTCTCTCGCGCTCTCTCACGCGCTCTCTCACGCGCTCTCTCACGCGCACTCTCACGCGCTCTCTCACACGCTCTCTCACGCGCTCTCTCACGCGCTCTCTCACGCGCTCACTCACGCGCTCACTCACGCGCTCTCTCGCGCGCACACTCACGCGCTCTCTTACATGCTCTCTCATGCGCTCTCTCGCGCGCTCTCTCATACGCTCTCTCACGCGCACTCTCATGCGCTCTCTCACACGCACTCTCACGCGCACTCTCATGCGCTCTCCCACGCGCACTCTCATGCGCTCTCTCACGCGCTCTCTCACGCGCTCTCTCACACGCACTCTCACGCACACTCTCACGCGCACTCTCACGCGCACTCTCACGCGCACTCTCACGCGCACTCTCACACACACTCTCATGCGCTCTCACCCGCTCTCTCACACGCTCTCACACGCGCTCTCTCACGAGCTCTCTCCCACGCTCTCCCTCACGCGCTCTCTCACGCGCACTCTCACGCGCTCTCTCATGTGCACCCTCACACGCTCTCTCACGCGCACGCGGACTCTCACGCGCTCTCTCACGCGCACTCGAACTCTCACGCGCTCTCTCGCGCGCTCTCTCACGCGCACTCTCCTGAGCGTTCGCTCCCGCGCACACGCTCTCCCTCGAGCTCCGTCTCTCCTTTTCTTCAAATGAAAGTGCAATGCAAGAGGAGACCAATCGACAGACAAAATGTACACATAGAGCAAAAAAAAAAGGGAGGGGGGGAGGGTGGGGGAGGGGGGGGCGGACATTTCAGAGGGGGGAGGGAGGATGAAAGGACCGGGAACGCACCTGATAATCATGGTGCCTCAGAAAACAATCCGCGCTGGTGCACCAAACCGCGCTCGCGCACCGACTTGCGCTCGCGCACCAACTCGCGCTTGCGCTCGTGTACTTGTCGCTGGAGGCGACGGCGGGGATGGAAGGAGAGGCTATGGCGGGGAGGGAAGGAGAGGCGACGGCGGGGAGGGAAGGAGAGGCGACGGCGGGGAGGGCAGGAGAGGAGACGGCGGGGAGGGAAGCAGAGGCGACGGCGGGGAGGGAAGCAGAGGCGACGGCGGGGAGGGAAGCAGAGGCGACGGCGGGGAGGGAAGCAGAGGCGACGGCGGGGAGGGAAGCAGAGGCGACGGCGGGGAGGGAAGCAGAGGCGACGGCGGGGAGGGAAGGACAGGCGACGGCGGTGAGGGATGGAGAGGCGACGACGGGAAGGGAAGGAGAGGCGACGGCGGGGAGGGAAGGAGAGGCGACGGCGGGGAGGGAAGCAGAGGCGACGGCGGGGAGGGAAGCAGAGGCGACGGCGGGGAGGGAAGCAGAGGCGACGGCGGGGAGGGAAGCAGAGGCGACGGCGGGGAGGGAAGTAGAGGCGACGGCGGTGAGGGATGGAGAGGCGACGACGGGAAGGGAAGGAGAGGCGACGGCGGGGAGGGAAGGAGAGGCGACGGCGGGGAGGGAAGGAGAGGCGACGGCGGGGAGGGAAGGAGAGGCGACAGCGGGGAGGGAAGGAGAGGCGACGGGGAGGCGGGAGTGAGAGGCGACGACGGGGTGTGAGGTGGCGGCGGGATGGGAGGGAATGGCGACGGCGGGGTAGGAGGGAGGTGCGACGGGATAAGAGGGAGGGGCGACGGCTGGGTGTTGGTTAAACGCGATAGCTGGATGATAGCTAGACAGCAGGATGGGCGATGGTGGGTTGGGAGAAAATGGCAGAGAGAGCAGGTAGAGGAGGAATTCGAGGAACCAAGAGTATGACAGAGTTCGAATTGACAGCTGGGAAGGGAAACGGAACAGATGCGCACAGGAGAGAGCTGAGTAGAGCAGGTGCTCAAAATTCAAGAAACCAAGTCAGCGGAGAAATCGAGTTGACAGCGGAAGAAATGAAGAATGTGTAGCGCTGGCAAGAAAAAATTCTGCCAGAGCAAAACGAGAAAAGAAACGATTTTTTTAAAAAATCGTACAGTGTTACGTTGATGGGGCGAATTTCGAGCTAGTCGCGGGCGAATTGCAAGCTAATTTCGTAAGCGAATAGGAGGGTAGGGGACGATGAGGCGAATTGCACGCTGAATTCAAGGGCGAATTTTAACAGAACCTGGGCACAGGATAATCCTAACAAAAAAACCCACACACTAGATTTGGAACTACAGTAATATCACGTGACAACACTCGCATAACCACATATCAGAGTTGGCTGCAAATGAAGAAACCCACTAAGGGTACTTCGATATTGCAATATCAGTTGTAGGTACTTCTATTATAATAACAAATAGAATGTCAGTCCCCATATCGTTCCCTGTAAACTAGCACTCAATCGCAAGAGAGAAGAATATTACTCGTAATTTTTTTATGAGGAACAAAGAATCCCGCTATAAAAATAAAGAACATAGTTTATCGCTTCAAAGATAATATAGTGCATTTTCTGATTTATAATAACGCCTACGCAACCCTTCCGACGTTAACGTCGAGTCTTGTTTTTTCTGGTGAATGTTATTACACTAGCAATAGTGCATCCTCAGTCGTAACTGACTAATGGAATTTTTTGTCACGCGTCGATGTGGCTATCCCCTCTCCGACTTTGCGATGACAACGCAGTGGTCTTTCTCGGCTCGACTCTGTGTCGTTCTCTCTCCTCAAGGGCGGTTTTGACAATTCCCTCTGTAAGTCTGATAAATTACTTAGTTCACACTCGGTTTCACGGAAACCCGTGAGATCCTGCGAAAATCCTGCGAACGATTCCATTTGTAACCTTGAGTGCGGAATCCCACTCGCAGCCAAAAACCTTCCTCTTTCGCCGTGAAAGTCGGGATTGCGACGGTGAGACTGGATATATACACGGCTACAATCATTCCCTTGTACCATTGCCACGTACGTATTACACAAGCAGGTTCAGAATGTAATTTTAAAAATATTCACAAGAGAGCTATGGGAAGATGCTATAAATAATCGCTCTTCGCATTCCACTTGTAAAGAAATAGTTAATATGTTTTGGTTGGGCCCTCAGTACATCGCAACCATCCAGCGCAATTGGAAAAAAAAAACACCATGTTCTGAAGCCAATTTTTTTCCTCACCATTCTCACTCAGTTCGCGACTAATATCATGTTCACACAACTTTGTTTCCATTTTAATTTTACATTCTTGCTGTAAGTGTAATATACTTACCGGTATGCACAATAAGCAGGACGAACATAATACTGTAGGCATCCTTAGGGCGGGGTGCATCATGCTGAAATTGCATGAAAATGCTTGATCGCGATGCTAGAACCGCAACCCTGTGGAATCCGGTTGGCTTGGGCGTGCTCGGGGCCCCCTGCGACCCAATGGCACCCCCCTATGATGCACCACCTGCAGGTTTGCAGTCCCGATCCCCAACTACCAATGAGACGCGGTCAAGGCGTCGCCTGTACAATTTGGTTTCAGCGTTTGTTCCGTAACCATGTCGTCTTCACCTCGCTCTCGTTTCGCTAACAAGGATCGGTGTGCACGTGGTGCACCTCCAACCCTTGATCGCGTGGGATCGCAGGCTCTCAGATCCCGCGTGATCGAGGGTGGTTGGGTGGCAGTTTTCGCGATCCCCCAAGGTCGTGGTGCAGCAACGCTACAGTAGTTACTGTGCGCAAAAGACAAAACACTGTATGAAGGATCGCTTGGGATCGCGGTCCTCCAAAATAGCATGATGCACCCCGCCCTTATCTTCACATCGGCTGAAACCCGACTTCCAGGGCGGAAGGGGTGTAGGTTGATGTGCGATTCCTTCTGGGGCGTGATGGCACTCCAGGTGCCAAATAACACCTCCACGAATGTTGTCAGTCGGACAAGTTCCACAGCCAGCTCAGCCCCCTCACTGTCACGATTTCGTCGCGTGAGCTCGTCGCGGACGCACTTCGTCGTCATAACAGCACCACCAAGCCAGAACTGCACCTCCAATGGACGACCGAGCCATCCACGTCACCCTGAACGACACGCCTGGTTGGGTACGACGTGCTCTCCGAGTCGTTGCCGTCAAGTTTGTTGCCGTCAAGTAACGATAGCTTTCCGAGTCGCCCTCCCACATTCTCGAGCCGCACATTCCATCTCAATACCAATTGAGAAGCAAGAGAAATGCCTTCCCTTCCCTCCCACCCTGCACCTGCTCCCACCTCAGCCCCTCGTAACTCCCATAAATAGCTCCCATAATCTTCTTCCCATCATCGCATTTCACTCCAACTTTACACAGTAGCACTTCAAGCACTCCTGTTTATTTCCCCAGCAATCCGCTTGCTTCGACGACTCGCCATGGCGTACTCGAGACTCTCCGCGCTAGCCTGCGCGTTGCCCCTGGTGGCGCTCGTCCTCACGTCGCTCTGCCTCAACGCCTCCGCCGAGCTCGCCGTCCCCGAGGCTGCCTCTTCCGCACTTGCCGCCGCCATGTCCGGCGACCTGGCTCAGCTCGACGCCACCAATTCTCTCAGCGACGACGCTGCGACGAGGAGGATTCTCGACGACGACGACGATGATGATGACGAAGACAAGAAGAAGAAGGACAAGAAGAAGAAGGATAAGAAGTCGAAGAAGTCTCCTCCCACTCCTTCCCCTTCCACTCCCACCCCCACTCCCACTCCCACTACGCCCAACAAGAAGGGCGGCAAGAAGACTCCCCCCACTCCCACAACCCCCGCCACTCCCGGCAAGCCCGCCACTCCCGGCGCCCCCGGCGCGGGGAAGCCGGCGGTGAAGCTGAGCGGCGCGGACTCGAAGGTGGTATCGCTGCTGGATGCGGCGGCGGTGGACGTCGACAGCGCCAAGGCGAAGCTGTCCGTCAAGACGTACGTCAAGAGCTTGACGGACACGGCGGCGGCGCTGCGCAACGCGGCGATTCTGATCCGCACGGGGCAGCGCGCGCTGGTGGCGGGGCAGATCGACAACTCGATCGCCACCATCAACGGCGTCAGCATGATGCTCCCCGCCCGCGGCGCCGACAAGAGTCTGCTCGCGTCCGCGCTCGGCAAGGCGCAGAGCGCCAAGGCCGCGTGGAAGGCGTAGCGCGCCCGAGGCTGGATGGCGTCGCGGGATCTCCGAATGCGCGCCCAGGCGGGGTGGCTGGTTGGGTCCTTTGTATCGCCACTTGTATACAGGCGCGAAACTAGCCGTTGGCTTTCTAGGTGATTGTCGTTAAGAGTTAGTACCGAGGTGATGCCAGAACCGACCAATAAATAACGTGGGCCTCGTGGGACCAGTCGTTGCTAATAATGTTTCACTTTGCGATATTGCTCGTTAATGCATTCTGTTGTACCGCACTTTTGAATGAGAATTCGACAACGCTCAGCCCGCTCATAACGCTAGGTGTCATGAGGATGTGAGGCTAAAACAAGCCCTTTCGACTTCATAAAACGTTAACTATAACGATTTAGTTTAGCCTAAGGCCTGCACCCATTTTTTCTAGCGTGCCATCACAGCCTCTGACACGCTCACTTTGGTGAAAGGTAGGGTTTAGCTGGTCCCGCAAGAGGCCAAGGAGAGGGAGCAGGGCGCCTGTGAGGAGGATCGAGCAGCGGACGATTGGGGAGACGGAGGGGAGGCGTAGCGTGGTGACGGAGAGCAGACACAGGTCGAGAGGGAAGGCAGGGGAAGGCCCACCCTCCCTAGGGCTGTGAATGAGAGAGCATGACGAGAGGAGGGGAGGGTGGAGGTGACAGAGCCAGCAGCCTATGATGTAGTAATTGACCATAGGCGCATTTTCCTGAACATAAGCGGATGCCCCAATTGAAGGAATACAGCTGTATTCAAAGAATTTCATATCAAACTGTGGATGTACTCACTTTTATAGTACAGGCATCCTTAAAGCTCGCGTCTCAAATTTCACCCTTCCGACCAAGTGTTAAACGCTTGGGATCCGGTAACAGCTGGGTTTGTCGCAAAGCACACCAAGGCAAGGGGTGGTTTGGGAAGGTTGGTTGGGAGAGGTTTGAAACAGGGCCTCGTTCCAGGCAAAACCAACTCCAAAGGGAAACAACGTGTTGCAAAGTTGGTTGGGACAGGAATACGACAACGCAGGTTGGGAAACACACCTGCACGAACCAATCTACAGGTGTACAGAAAAACGTGCGACAACAGAGGCATCGTCGCACACTTCCCCGTGCAAACCAAGCATTTACAGCTCTCAGAATTATGAGACTCAGAACTCTCAACTTTGACAAAACGGTTCGTGTAGGCACCAGTTCAAGTGTTTTACCAGCCATATGCCACGTCTTTTAGTATAGCTAGCCTTGAAAACTCAGTCGCGATCATGATGTAGGGGAAACCGTGCGCCTATAGACCTTGGCGCATTCCGTGACCCGCATTCTCTAAGCCCGAACACGGGAAAATCATCAAATTTAGCGTGTCCAATCCCCACCTTCGTCCTCTCCTCGCCAAAAACTGCCGGCGTGGGGTTCATCGCCATTCATCAACCGCCCTTATTAGGTGAAAGGGGAAGGTCGCAGTAGCATGAAGGGTGGAAAGGACGATAGGGACGAGCCAAACGCGGCAAACGCGGCAATGGGGCGATATCACCGAAGTCGCGGGACTAAGGCCCGCCGAGACGCGGGAAAGGTGTGTACCCTGCCGGTGAGCGCGCGCACACCTCCCTTCAAGGGGCGCGCACCCAGCTGTAAGCAGCGCGCACACCGCAAGCAGCTGAGTGCGCCCCGCTGTAGGCATCACGCGCCACCTGAGCCTCAGCGCTCGCCCCGCTATAGGCATGAGGCGCCTCTTTAGCATCAGCGCGAATGCGCCTGTAATCTCACGCGCCATTCGTCACGTAATCGCGCATGGTGCGGGTATGTCAAGCACTACATGAGAGGGGGGAGGAGGAGAGGACAGAGGGGGGGAGAAGGTGCGCTGAGAGGGGGGAGGAGGAGAGGACAGAGGGGGGGAGAAGGTGCGCTGAGAGGGGGGGAGACCCGGTGCTACCCCTCCTATCCCCCCCTGCTTCTCCTCCTTTCCCCCCGGTGCTACCCCTCCTTCCCTGCTTCCCCCCATCCCCTTCCCTGCTTCCCCCCATCCCCTCCCCTTCTTCCCCCCATCCCCTTCCCAGCTTCCCCCCATCCCCTTCCCTGCTTCCCCCCATCCCCTTTCCTGCTTCCCCCCATCCCCTGGCACCCGCACTCTCACTCTCCTTTCCTCCCGCACTCTCTCTCTCCGTCCTCTCCCACTCGCACTCTCCTTCCCCCCACCCTCTGCCCAGTTGTCACCTGCCCTCCCAATGCCTGCCTTTCCCTCCCTGCCCTGCGCTTTCCTTCCCCATCCCTTCTCAACCCTTCCCTTCCTTTTCATGCCCTCCCCTTCCCCCTCACTCCTCACCTTCCACCCTCTAGTTCCCATGCACGTGCACCCATCACTGTCTCCCCATACATTATTTCATCATGTGCGCTTGCTTGTGTTCCCTTGCAGTTGTTCCCTTGGCACCTCACACCACCTCCCCCATGTTCATTCACACAATTCTTTCTGCCTACTCCACTCCCCTAATTTTCAGTGGTGAAGCAGAAGAGCAAGCTGAGGCGCAGCTAAAGCTAGTCCATGCTTTACACCGTACCACCACCTGTTTCTTGTGTGTTGTATGCAATCATGTTCTGCGGGGGGGAAGGAGGAGAGGACAGAGGGGGGAAGGAAGGGTGATATACCAGTTTGCGATAAATTCCCCTAATTTCCCCCCAATCCCCCCTCCGCTCCCTCTCATTCCCCCCTCTGCTCCCTGTCATTCCCCCCCCCCCCTGCTCCCTCTCATTCCCCCCTCTGCTCCCTCTCATTCCCCCCTCTGCTCCCTCTCATTCCCCCCTCTGCTCCCTATCATCCCCCCCCCCCCCCCTGTTCCCTCTCATTCCCCCCTCCGCTCCCTCTCATTCCCCCCTCTGCTCCCTCTCATTCCCCCCTCTGCTCCCTATCATCCCCCCCCCCCTGTTCCCTCTCATTCCCCCCTCTGCTCCCTGTCATTCCCCCCCCCCTGTTCCCTCTCATTCCCCCCTCTGCTCCCTCTCATTCCCCCCTCTGCTCCCTCTTATTCCCCCCTCTGCTCCCTGTTATCCCCCCCTCCGCTCCCCATAAATTACAGCTCTGCTTTCCCATCAATTCCCCTACTGCACCAGGTCAATACAGAACCCCCTCTGCTATAAAATAATTTCCCCTTGTGCTCCCCATCAATTTACTCACTCCTTCCCCTCATTTCCCCCTTTCCCTCCCCTCCTTTTCAGCCTCCCTCTTCTCCAGCTGCTTCAGCCTTGACACTCAGGATTTTGTCAGAACTGGTCCGCCACGCATGAATTTTGTTAAGCTTTAGCTATTAAATAGTACCGGTTTGACAAGTACCCATGACGTGTATCAATGTTGGATGCTTCTTTATAAAAATCACTTCAGTGTTTAGGATACTGAACTGAGCCATTCAGTTGATCACTACAAAGAAGTGCAACAAAGGTTTCCAGACAAGTCACCTTGCCTTCCAGACACAGCAGGTGCAGCAGTGGCAGCGAGGGAGGAGGGCAGGCCATAGCTGCCCTGGCGCCACCCACCCCCCACCTGCACCACACGCATCGCCTCATACCCCGCCACTGCCCACTCCCCCTGCACGCCCTGACTCGAACCAACTGCGCCCCCCACTGCCTTCTCGCCTCCACTGCCAGCATCTGCATCAGCAGGCTTTGTGTGTGGCGGCAGTGGCAGGAGGGCTGTTGCTTGTGTGCGACCAGGTGCGATGGCGGAGAGGGACGTCCACAAGCAGATGGACGAGAGGGCGTATGGCGGCGTGAAGGCGGGTGGGGGTGGTGAGGTGAGGGTGAAGGAGGGGGGAGTGGCTGGTAGCAGCGGCTGCAGATTCCACTGCACAAATGGGTTCAGAGCGGTGCAGTTGGTGTACGGCTCTCCTGAGGGAGAAGGATGGGGACAGGAGGGCAGGAAGAGGGATGGGGTAGAGTGGAGATGAGAGGGGAAAGGGGAGACAAGATGAGCACTCAGAAATAGAGCACAGAATCAAGGCAGAGGGTAATCAAGTGGAGGCGAGGAGGCGGGCAGCGAGCAGCAGCGAGTGGCCCACAAGCGCTACTGAAGCATCCACCCTGCTTCATCCCCACCTCTCACCTTCCCCACTGCCCTGGGAGCGGCTCTATAACCCCCCCCTCCCGCCCCTTCCCACTGCTCAGCACCCTGTCCTCCTTGTGTTCTGCCACTAAGCAGTGGCAGCAGGCAATCATACATCATGGTGATAATCAAGCACAAGGAATTCACCCACTCAGCTCGCACCCACACCACCATCCTTCCAAAACCCATGCCCCCTCTCCCCTCCTTGGCCTGCCCGCCGCGCATGCTCCTCCCACACTATCTGAACCGCCTTGGGGTTGGCCCCCGCTGCTTCTACCTCTGCTGGCTCTATTCCCTGGTGTGCAAGTCGTCTCACTGCCTCCCACTGCTGCTTGGTCACTGCATTGTGTAATGGAGTCCCTGGGGGAGGGCAGAGGGCGGAGGGCAGAGAGCGGGGGGCGGATGGTGGATGAGAGAAGGCGGAGGGATACAAAGAGGAGGAAAGCGGCTCTGGAAGCAGATGCAGAGCCAGAGCAATTCAAGCGGGGTGCAGAGGGCACCGCAGGGTAGAGCGCATGAAGGCAAGAGGGCTAAGAAGCTGGGTGGAGAAAGAAACGAGCGAAGCACTTTCTACCGTTCTTGCATTGAACCAATCATGGCACTCACAGCCGCAAGGCACTCACAGCCGCCAGGCACGCACAGCCGCCAGCAGGCACATGCAGTCCACGTGGCCGCCATACGCCGCCACGTGCAGTGGCGTGGTGGCGTTGCGCGTGCTGCACACCCCCGCTGGCATGCCCATGCGCAACAGCGCCTGCAGCTGCAGGCACATGCATGGGAGAACGGCGGGGAGGGAGAGAAGCGGGCAGCAGGGTGAGTGCGGTCCATGCCTGCGACATTATTGAAGGTGCATGTGAGTGCAGGCACGTGGACGGGGAGGGATGAGTGCACACGCGTGATGGACGGTGGGTTCAGAGAGTGTTGAGCGGGCTGCATGGCTGTGCTGCATGGGTGAGAGCTGGTGCATGGCTGTGCTGCATGGGTGAGAGCTGGTGCATGGCTGTGCTGCATGGGTGCAGGCGGGGAGGCAGGTGAGACTGACCACGGGGGAGTCACCATTCCGAGCAGCCACATGCATGGCGGTCCAGCCCCACTTGTCCACCACGCCACTCAGCCCCTCTGCTGACTCCACCCCGCATGCCCGCACCACATGCCACAGCCCCTGCCCCTCCTCCTCCCCACCACCCTCACCACTAGTACATCCCCTCCCCCATGCACTCACCTCCCTGTCAAAAGGGACGACGTCTCTCTTCCCCCTCCTCGGGCAGCACCTGCTCTCCCCCTCCATTCCCCCTCCCCATCAACCCGCGCCTTATTCCGCCCACCCCTAATCTCCTTCCGCCCATCCCTGATCTCATTCCGCCCTTCCATAATCTCATTCCATCATAACTACTCGCATTTCGCCCATCCGCAATCTCATTCCGCTCTTCATACTCTCATCCCTCCCTTCTTAATCTCGTTCCGCCCTTGTTCCTCTCATTCCGCCCTTCTTCCTCTCATACCGCCCTTTTTCCTCTCATTCCGCCTTTCTTCCTCTCATTCCGCCTTTCTTCCTCTCATTCCGCACTTCTTCCTCTTATTCCGCCCTTCTTCCTCATTCCGCCCTTCGTCCTCTCTTTCCGTCCTTTTTCCTCTCCATCCGCCGTTCTTCCTCGCATTCCGCCCCTCGTTCTCTCATCGCGCCCTTCATCCTCTCATTCCGCCCTTCTGCCTCTCAATCCGCCCTTCTTCATCTCACACCGCCCTTCCTACCTGTTTTCGACGTTCCAAATCGCATTACGCAAACCCTAAACTCATTCCGCACATCCCTACTCTCATTCCGCCCGTAGTAGTCGCAATCTGCCCTTCCTAATCTCAATCCGCGTTTTCCACTCTAAATCCGCCCATCCCGTCTCTCATTCCCGATCAAGGAAGATGCTCTCATACTAATCGTAAACGGGGGAAATAATGCTTAGCTGGCTTTCTATTTCGGTGTTACTACGGCTCAGCGACGGGAGTATGGTTGCTTGGCGTGGGCACTCATTTTCTGACTTCACACTTCTGTCAACCTCAAAACGTGATTGCGTCGCCAGGGTGGGTCGCATAGTTCTCAATCAGACGCAAACCTGTCCCCCAAGGCTCGTCTTACACCCAAACCTGCCCACCCAGGTTTGTTTTGGCCTTGATTGTTGGGGAGTTCGCTGTGTTCTTTTCACCCGCTCGTAAAAACTTTCGTCATTCGTTACCCAATCACGGACGGGCAAACCCAACCAGGTGTTAAACCTTTGGAAATTTGAGACCCGAGCTTTAAAAGAAAAAAATACAAAACTTTTAGAGTAATATTCTGATTAGCAATGTTGTAAATGAAATCAACTACCCAGCCTTAATGTAGTGGTTGTCACAATTATTGTTGTGGACTGAAAACTTATTGAATTCGCTTAATATATGTTTCAAAGCAAGAAAGCAAGTAAGAGATGGTAGTGAATGATGGAGCAGCATTGTTTAGTTATCTTTCGAGTTGTCGAAGTGTAGAATGCACTCGCTGACTTTGAACTTCAGCTTCGTCATTATCGAGATTATCCGCACCTGCACCCTCGTGGACCATTTCCCCATCCCACACCAACGCCTCATAAAAGATTCCTCTCTGCAGCTGAATCTGAGCTAGATTTTCACATTCCTGTGCCAAACATCTTGGCAGGGATTCAGCCATGGCGTCTCTCGCTCGCATTCTCTCCGCAGTAGTGTTTGCGCTGCTGACTATGGTGCAGGCGTTGGGGCTGCTGTTCATGATTTACTGGAAGCAGGAGCTCGCGTTCAGGGCTCCGCCCGTGACTGAATCCGACGGCATTCTCGCCGAATTCAAGCGCGCGTGCCTCGAACCCGAGAGTGCGTTGCTTGAAAAGTGTGCCGTGTGTGATGGCACCACGGTGCATCTTCACTGCACGGGATCCGCTGAGATTCGCGTACTTGTCCTCATGCCTTGCATCGCTTTGCTAAGCCGTGATGGTCTGCTCACGTTGTCATGAATTTTACCTTTCACCTGACATCCCCTCTGCTGCATACTTACCGTCGAGTTCGCATCGTATCGTCTCCATCTCCCTCGTCCACGTCAGCAGGCGACTGCCCGGTTCTCGGCAAGGGCTTCTTCTTCGGCCTCGCCACAGCGCCTGCACACGTGGAGGACCAGCTCGATGACGCGTGGCTGCGATTCGCTCGCCGCGGAAGCAACGAGAAGCCCGACCGAGGCCCTGTCAGCTTCCTTTCCTTCTCTTCTCTATGACTCTCTTTCTCGTTCCTGCCGTATTTGTTGTATTTTCGTTCTTTCTTTCTTTCTTTCTTTCTTTCTTTCTTATTCTTCTTCTTTTTCTTCAGTTCCGTTCCTTCCACTTGTCTCGTCTTTTTCGTACCTGCCTTTTTCTCTCGTTGCCTCAATGCAAACCCTATGTCATTCGAGATTCAGAGGCCATATTCCGACGACTGCAACAAAAACCATATATCTGCATAGATGAGGATGTGTGAGTTTATTTGACCGACGCATGTTTGCCCCTCCTCTCAACCAATGCCGCCCTTCCCACCCGTCAGGTTCGGGCATGGCACAACGTGCCCAAGCCTGAGCAGCGGCTTCGATTCTGGACCGAGCCTGAGGTGGAGGTGGACCTGGCGGCGCGTGCAGGCGTGGAGGCCTTCCGCATGGGCGTTGACTGGGGGAGGATTGTTCTGCGCGAGCCACAGGGGGGCCAGATGGAGGTGAGCGGGTGGATGGGTGCATGTGTTTAGGCCATGAGGAGCAGGTTAGTAGCTGTTTCGTATGGGCGTTGACTGGGGGAGGGTTTTTCTGCGTGAGACACAGGGGGGCAAGATGGAGGGGAGGGGGTTGCCACAAGGAGGTAACTGAGGTGGAGAGCGAAGTGCATCGAGGTTGCCTTGAACCCTCTTGCCCCCTCTCTCGTCTCTCTTCTCTCGTCTTCCGCCCTCTCTCCTCTTCCTCCTCACTCCACGCCGCAACAGATCGACCAAGCGTAGTGGCGCTGGGGCTCTTTGCTGTACAAGGAGATAATGGCGCTGGTGCAGGCAAGGGGAATTGATTGGTCCTAAAAACCCGCTGTGCGGCTACAAGAAGATATGGTGCTTTTGCTCATGTCTCCCCTTTCCCTGCAATTTCTCTCACTCCACGCCGCAACAGATCGACCACGCGGCAGTGGCGCGCTACAAGGAGATAATGGCGCTGGTGCGGGCGAGAGGCATTGAGACGTCTTCCAACTTTTATTTCCCTTCTCCCATCTCCCTCCGCCCTTCTGCTTCCCTCTTCTCCCACAACAGATCGACCACGCGGCAGTGGCGCGCTACAAGGAGATAATGGCGCTGGTGCGGGCAAGAGGCATTGAGACGTCTTCCAACTTTTATTTCCCTTCTCCCATCTCCCTCCGCCCTTCTGCTTCCCTCTTCTCCCACAACAGATCGACCACGCGGCAGTGGCGCGCTACAAGGAGATAATGGCGCTGGTGCGGGCAAGAGGCATTGAGACGTCTTCCAACTTTTATTTCCCTTCTCCCATCTCCCTCCGCCCTTCTGCTTCCCTCTTCTCCCACAACAGATCGACCACGCGGCAGTGGCGCGCTACAAGGAGATAATGGCGCTGGTGCGGGCGAGAGGCATTGAGACGTCTTCCAACTTTTATTTCCCTTCTCCCATCTCCCTCCGCCCTTCTGCTTCCCTCTTCTCCCACAACAGATCGACCACGCGGCAGTGGCGCGCTACAAGGAGATAATGGCGCTGGTGCGGGCAAGAGGCATTGAGACGTCTTCCAACTTTTATTTCCCTTCTCCCATCTCCCTCCGCCCTTCTGCTTCCCTCTTCTCCCACAACAGATCGACCACGCGGCAGTGGCGCGCTACAAGGAGATAATGGCGCTGGTGCGGGCAAGAGGCATTGAGACGTCTTCCAACTTTTATTTCCCTTCTCCCATCTCCCTCCGCCCTTCTGCTTCCCTCTTCTCCCACAACAGATCGACCACGCGGCAGTGGCGCGCTACAAGGAGATAATGGCGCTGGTGCGGGCGAGAGGCATTGAGACGTCTTCCAACTTTTATTTCCCTTCTCCCATCTCCCTCCGCCCTTCTGCTTCCCTCTTCTCCCACAACAGATCGACCACGCGGCAGTGGCGCGCTACAAGGAGATAATGGCGCTGGTGCGGGCGAGAGGCATTGAGACGTCTTCCAACTTTTATTTCCCTTCTCCCATCTCCCTCCGCCCTTCTGCTTCCCTCTTCTCCCACAACAGATCGACCACGCGGCAGTGGCGCGCTACAAGGAGATAATGGCGCTGGTGCGGGCGAGGGGCATGCACGTGATGCTGACGCTCTTCCACCACTCGCTGCCCTCCTGGGCCGAGCCCATTGGCGGCTGGACCAACGCCTCCCTTGTTGGCCACTTCGACTCCTGGACCCAGTGAGTGCGGTGGAGGGGGATTGAGTGCGGCGGAGGGGCTAGTGAGTGCAGTGGAGGGGCAAGCAGGGCGAGGGTGCAAGCGGGGCGCGGCATGCTTGCACTTGCCACCATGTCTTTGGTCTCTGGTCCAGTTCGTCATGGGCCTCAGCAACCCTCGCGTTCTCTTAGTATCAGTTATTTAACTTCTTCCCCCTGTCACCAACCCCACGCTACACACCGCTCTTCTTCGCCCCCCCTTCCCACCTCGCCCCTCTCAGGCTGGCAGTGCGGGAGTTTGGCCCACTGGTGGACTACTGGGTGACGTTCATGAGCGCACCTCTTTGTCATCCTCCTCCTCACCCACACTCGTCCCCTTGCCGTCCCCACCACCCTCACCCGCCCCTTAACCACCCCCAGGCTGGCAGTGCGCGAGTTCGGGCCATTGGTGGACTACTGGGTGACGTTCAACGAGCCGCACCTGTTTGTCATTCTCACCTACTGCATGGGCGTGTGGCCGCCCGGCAAGGCGCCCTCGCTGCTGCAGTCGGCGCTCTGCATGTCGCCCGTGGGGCAGTATAGCCAGGCCATGCAACACATCGGGGAGGCTCACATCTCTGCCTTCAAGATCATCAAGAAAGGGTGAGTAGGGGCCCTTGGGAAAGGGTAGGGGTCCTTTGAAAGGAGCATGGGGGTAACATGTCAAGGCTGGGGCAGTCCGCGCTCTGCATGTCACCCGTGGGGCAGGGGCAGCACAGCCAGGCCATGCAACACATCGGGGAGGCTCACATCTCTGCCTTCAAGATCATCAAGAAAGGGTAAGGGCTTGTGAGAAAGGGGTAGGGGCGCTTGAGGAGTTTTTGAAGAGGAGCACGCAGGTAACCTGTAAAGCCTGCTGCAGTCAGCACTGTGCATGGTGGTGGTACAGCCGCGCCGCTGGACGTGGTGGTGCTGCTCTACATCGACTGGATGACACTCTTCCCCTCACTGCACGGCACTGCCACTGCTACCCCCCCCCATCCGGCCCACTTCACTCTCCCCCCCGTGAGCACAGCCCCAGTGGGAGTGGCGACCAAAACCGCCTTCATGACGCCCTTCAGCGCTCTGGACGTGGTGGTGCCGCCCTCACTCCTGCCTCTTGCCCCTCCGTCCCATCCCCGCAACAACCATCCTCTGCCCATCCCCCAGAAGCGCAGCCCCGGTAGGAGTGGCAGCGAATACCACCTTCATGACGCCCTTCAGCACACTGGACGTGGTGGTGCCGCTGTACATCGACTGGATGACGCTCTTCCCCTCACTGCACGTCACTGCCACTGCTTCCCAACCATCCCCCTCCCCCTTGCCCAATCCCCTTCCCCAGGAGCGCAGCACCAGTGGGTGTGGCAGCCAACACGGCCTTCATGACACCCTTCAGCGCGCTGGACGTCATTGTACCGCTCTACATCGACTGGATGACGCTCTTCCCCTGGGTCGATCACATCCAACACCACCTCGACTTCTGTGGCCTCAACTACTACGGCCAGGTCAGCAGATGGTGCTGCCAGGTCATCAGCTGGTATGGCCAGGTCATCAGCTGGTATGGCCAGGTCAGCAGATGGTAGGGCCAGGTCAGCAGATGGCAGGGCCAGGTCAGCTTATGGTAGGGCCAGGTCAGCAGATGGTAGGGCCAGGTCAGCAGATGGTAGAGCCAGGTCAGGGACTGCCTCAGCCGCTGTTGACTCACGCAGCGGCGGAGCTAAACCGCTTCCTGTCGAAGCGCCTTGCATAAGCAAACCAGAGTGGTGCTGAAATGACATATGCAGGAAATTCTTCCTGCTGCAGGGACGCATTCCGGCCTGTCATTGTGCCTCTGTCGCCCGTTCCTCGAATCTCTTCTCCCAGGAAGGCATGTCGGCGGTGGGCGTGCAGAGCGCGCACGAGTCACAAGAAGGGCTCTGCGCCAGTTTACCTGCGGAGAACCACCCTTCCGCATCTTCATGTGAGCGGCTTTTGAGAATTCTCAAAAGTCGCTCATGGGAGGAGCAGTTCATCTGGGAAGAACCCACCTTCCACGACTTAAAGCCCATCCACTGCGTACTCCCTTCCCCATGCCATGCCCCTCTTCCCTCCATCCCCCTCCCCCCAGGAGTTCATGTCGACAGCAGGCTTGCAGAGTGTGGAGGAGGAGTTCTCAGAGGCGGGCTGGGCCATGTACCCCGAATGACAGCCCCTTCCGTATCCTCATGGCCTGGCGCCAGTACCTCTCCTCCCCATGCATGCCCTCTCCCATTCCCCCCCCCCTCCTACAGGAGCTCATGTCAGCAGCAGGTCTGCAGAGTGTGGAGGAGGAGGAGTTTTCAGAGGCCGGCCGGGCCGTGTACCCCGATGGCTTCTACCGCATCCTCATGGCCCTCCACCGCCTACTCTCTTCCCATTGCCCCCCTCCCCTCTTGCCCATCCCTCCTCCTGCGCATTTCCCCTCCTACCCGTCCTCTCAGGAGTTCATGTCAACAGCAGGCCTCCAAAGTGTGGTGGAGGAGGATGAATTCTCCGAAGCAGTCCAAGCTGTGTACCCCGACGACTTCTACCGCATCCTCATGGCCTTCCACCGCCTACTCTCTTCCCCTTGCCCCACTCTACTCCCTTTGCTCCACTCCCCGCCCGCCTTGCCCCACTCCCCGCCTCCCTCTCCCAGGAGTTCATGTCAACGGCAGGCCTGCAGAGTGTGGATGAAGAGGAGTTCTCAGAGGCAGGCCGGGCAGTCTACCCAGACGGTTTCTACCGCATCCTCATGGCCTTTCACCGCCGCTACTCGCCAAACCACCCTGCGCTGCGCTTCATCGTCACTGAGAACGGCTTTGCTGACACTGAGGACAACATTCGCCGCCCGTATCTGATCGAGCACCTGCTGGCACTCAACGCGGCTATCAAGGAGGTGGGTGATGTTATGTGCTTGTTTTCTTTACTTGTGGCAATGTGGTTTCCGAAGGCGTGCTGCTGGGTGCCTGGAGGCAGCCAATGAGTCGACTTAAAAGTCACCTCAGAAAAGGGTGCGGTAACTTCTGGGTCAACTCAAAAGTCACCTTAGAAAAGGTTGCGGTATGATGTGGTTACTCAAGGTGTGCTGCTGGGTGCGGTCGAGGTTTTTTTTGCCTTCTGGAGCAACTGTTGATTGATTGGCGCTGACTACTGCCATTAACCAGATGGAGAGAGTGTGTGTGAGGAAGTGGGAAATACCAGGTTTGATGGGACACTTCTTGCCATTTGGCATGAAGGAGGTGAGATGCAGAGAGGGATGCGTTAGTGCATTGCTCTTCTTCCACCCTCTTATGCTCCCGTCCTCGCCCCCCGCGTGTACGCACAGTCCCCTCCCTGCACGTATCTACTGGACGTTGACGTGCACTGGGAGCGCCTTTTAAGGCGCCTCAAAGGTCGTTGACGCCTACTGGGGGCGCCCACCTGTATGTATCTGCCTGCTCCTCATTCCCCATCCCCCTCCTCCTCCTCTACCCCCGCCACCCCCCTCCCTTCCCCTCTCCCCCCCATGACAACTGGGAATGGGCCGACGAGTCTGGAGGTTTGAGCCTTAACCCAGGACCCCACAACGCACCCCCCGCACTCTCCTCTCCACTTCCCCTCCCCTCCCCTCTCCTCCTCCCACACCCCAGCGCATGCCCATAGACGCGTATATCCACTGGACCATCAGCGGCAACTGAAGGTGGACGGAAGACTCTGTAGGTGTGGGTCTTATCACACGACTCTACCACTCACCCCCTACTCACTCCTCTCCACCTTCAACCTCCCCCTTTCCACCCCTCTACCTGCACACACACCCCAGCGCATGCCCATAGACCCGTATATCCACTGGACCATCAGCGGCAACTGGGAGTGGGCGGACAAGTCTGGGGGTGTTTCCATCAATCAAATCTTCAACTTACCCCCACTCACTCCTCTCCATCTTCACAACACCCCCCTCCCCCTCCATCCCCCCCTCCGAACCCTACCCCACCCGTTACTGAAACCCCAGGGCGTGCCTGTAGATGCGTACTTCCACTGGACCATCAGAGACAACAGGGAGTGGGCGGACGAGTCTAGAGCCATGGGAGTCATCGCAACTCAACCCTCAAGATTCCACAACTCAACCCTCACTCACTCTGCTCCACCTTCACCCTCACTCCTCCTCACGTTTCACCCCTCTCCCCTCCCCACAGGGCATGCCCATAGACGCGTACTTCCACTGGACCATCACCGACAACTGGGAATGGGCGGACGGTTATTGCCCCAAGTTCGGCCTGGCAGGCGTTGACAGGGCCTCCGCCAACCTCACGCGCGTGCTACGCCCCTCCTATGGCCTCTTTAAGGAGGTATGCCGTATTGCTGAGACAGCCCCAGCAGAATCTCTTCTCGCGTAAAGCAGGGCATCTAACGTTGAAAGGAGAGGGTTCCAAAGGTGGGTGGCAAGCACAAGGGCTTACGTGGAGTTGTTTGGGCACATGCCGTATGCTAGGCTCTGCGCACATGATTGTTGCTTTTGAAAAATGTGCGATACTCGTTGCTGGCCATTGCGATGCTATTCATGTTGTTGTCAGTGATGTCACTACGCTCTATTCTGTGGTGCTTGAAACTGTAACCTATTCATAGTGACTCAATCCCATTCTTTCGTCTGCTCTCCCCCTCTCCCTAGATCGCGGACAGCTTTTTTTTCCCCTCACATCACGGACTCATCCACCCCGTCTTCAACTCTCCACACAACCCACCTTCTCCCTACCACCCTCTCCCTCCCACCCTCCCCCTAGATCGTGGAGTCACGGCAGGTGACGGTGCAGCAGAGGGAGGAGGAGTGGGGGCAACTGCAGCAGCGGGCGCAGCGGGGCGAGCAGCGCTCCTACTGCCGTGCTGTGGAACCCTCCGGTCGCATGGGCGCTGGTGAGGACTGTGCTGGTGCTTGCGTGCATGGTGGGGCGGCCTGTATGGTGAGATGCATGATGGGGTGTATGGTGGGATGCATGGTGGCATGGTGATATAGTGGTGAGTGGAAAGGACATGGCAGCGAGGCGAGCAGCGCTCCTACTGCCGTGATATGGTGGAACCCTCCGGTCGCATGGGCGCTGGTGAGGACTGTGCTGGTGCTTGCGTGCATGGTGAATGTCAAGGTGCAAAATGAAGAAGCTCAGTCGTACATTGTTTTCTCTATTAACACAAGAGCAGTCAGAGCAATCAGAGGACCAAGTCAGAGCAATCAGAGCACCACACCTCTCTCCTTTCCTCTCCCCTCCTCCAGACTCCCTTGACTCCCCCACTACACGGGTCATAGCCACCAAGGACTGGCGCTATGGCGAGTACAGGCGCCCCAAGGCCGCTGTGATGGTGAAGCGCACGGCGAGAATTGTCCGCATCTGGCTGGAGGACCTGCTGCTGGCCGCCCAGCAGGCTGCAGATGCTGCCAACTCCCTCCTGTGCCGCCTCATGCATGGCCCTCACCACCAGCACCAGCAGCAGCAGCAACATCAGCAGCAGGAGCAGCAGCATCAGCACCAGGAGGCTGCAAAGGAGGATACATGGGAGGACGTGGAAGTAGCCATCCAGGTACCGCCAGTAGCTGCTGCTGCCGCGGCTGCTGGTGCGGCTGCTGCTTCAGCAGACAAGGATGAGCTGTAGTAGATGTGGCTCCTGTAGCCGCAGCAGCTGATTGCTGCTGCTTTTGTGCAGAGCCCGTGTACCGAGCAGGGGAGCTGCCATGAGAGCTGGATGCCATTGCCAGCCCTGCTGGGTTGGGATGGGAATGTGTTGTGGCAGAGCATACGTGAAACTGTGACTTTCAATGACCATGACACATGCTGGCATACTCACATTGTGCTTTGCGTTTATTTCTATAAGAAAGCTACTGCTACTTGATTATATGTCCTGGTGAGCCAAAACACACGGTGTGTATGGATCTGCTAGAACTTGGCATAGGTGTACGGATTAGTCACCCAGGTAAGAAACTACCACTCGTGAAAAAATGGGAGGGTTTAATATATATATTATAGTGACACGTTTACCATCCAAATTAATTTACTCTGAATGACTGTTAGGAAACAGGTTCTGCCTACATCCAAGTCAACGAATGGCTCCACACCACAACCCAAATGGAATGCTGCAAAACGCAATCGAGTCTTTCAACAATGAGTACCAGCAGGTTCAGCGTGATGAAGACGTGAGCTCACAATGCACACCATCGCCACATGCAGACCATGCCGACTTGCCATAGCCTATGCTCTAGCGCTCTCGTTTCCCATCCCACGTGCTCCGTCGTCGATTCGCGCGTTCGGATGTGCACACTGTGCGCCCGTGTTAGCAAGAGCACCATGCGAACTCCTCTTCCTGCCCGGGAAATACGCGATGTGCCTCGAGTCGAGTGGCCCTCTGTTGGGCCTCGAGTGCCCCTCGAAATGGCGCATCACACGCGGGCAGGCTGCGGTCGCACTGCTGCCCCGCCACGCGCGCCTCTCGCCCCTTCCGTGGATATCATCTCCTTGCCCTGCATGCGCTCTTATAATCTTCTCTTCACGGTTCGCAGAGGGAGGAGGCGAGACGATAATAGGAGCTCTCGAGTTGAGTCTTAAGTAATCCCTCAGCGAGAGTCGCATATCCAATGTGCCGGAGGTGGCCGCGCCGTACCTGTTTGTAGTGGAGTCCGGTGTCCCTTATCCCGGAATCTCGCATACCGCGACGGAAGAGCGTTCTTTGAGGTTCTCAAAACGGTCGCATTCCGAAGGAGTGTTCTTTGAGGCTCGTTGAGGCTCGTTGAGGCTCCGAATCCGAGTGGCGCGCGTGGCGCGAAATCAAGCAACACTCCCTCCCCATTCTGTGAGAAGGTCGTACGCTGCACCCGCCGCCTGCTTCGTCATGCATCCCAGCAGCAGCAGCAGCAGTTGCGGAGGCGCTGGGCTGCGCGGAATAGAGAGGTGCGCGTTCGTGGCGGTGGAGGGCAGGGAGGACTGCGCGCATGTGGCGCGCCCGCAGGGGGACGCACAGGCGCAGGCGCAGGGGGAGGCAGAGGCGGCGGAGCAAGGGCGGAGGAACACAGTGGAAGTGGTGGCGGCGCTTGCTCTCATCACTCGCCTCTCCTCTGGTAAAGTCTCAAGCCTTTCCTGTGGTACTGTAAGAAGCCTTTCTCTTACAGCTTCTGCTCCCGTTGTAGTCCCCTCGCTGCTTCTCCCGCTCGTCACCTTCTCCTGCTCACTTTTTCACAGAGTGCTGCACCACTCTGCGCGTGCGGGCTCTACCCTTCCCCTACTCACCTCCAATCCTCCGCCCCCCCCTGCTTCCCGCCCTGCCTGCTTCTTTCTCTCCGCTTTACCCAACAGGCACCAACGGGCCGGGAGCACAGTGGCAGCAGGAGCTGCAGCAGGTGCTGCCGCCACACTCCTTGGCGCGCCCGCGGCGAGTGCTGCTGCTCGTGCCCACGGAGGCGCAGCAGCAGGCAGCGGCCAAGGCATGGAGCCGACTGCAGAGGCAGCAGAGCGGGCAGCAGGCCGGGCAGCAGGGCGCACAGCAGGCGAGGCAGCAGGAGGCATCAGGCGCTGCTGGTAGCGTGGTGGTGGCTGTGGAGGTGGTGGGGTCTCAGCAGTGGGACCTCCTCGTGTCTCACCCTGCTGCGTTTGACTTGGCGCTGCTCACAGCTGTGTGCGCCCCACCCCCCTCGCCTCCTTCCACACTCGCCGTGCACTCCCTCTGGCCGCCCTCAAGGTCCGTGAGTCGTGGAGCTATTGTGGGCGTTGCCAGGGCATGCATCGTATTAAATCACAGCATCACACGGGATGGGAATGAGACGGTCATGCCCCAGTTGCTCTTTGCAGCCGCGGCGCGGACATGCTCTCACTCGTAACGTGCATGTTTCTCATGCGCGCATGGAGCTCCGCATGCGTACCACATGCTTCTGTACACTTGCGTACTTCGTGTATCTCTGGTTCTGTTCTGCAATTCAATCCCTCGTTGCCTCGCACGTCCATTTCTCAGAACGACAACCCCGCATGGCAACGTCATCCCCATCCCCCACACGGCCATGCACCCCCATGAGCCAATGCAGGATTCAAGCTGCCCTAGCAGCCCCTGTTCGCGCCCTTCTCATCCTGGGCGACACGTGCACACTCTCAGCTGGCAGTGACACGTGGCGCCATGTCATTGGTGGCGCAAGGGCGCAGGGCAGGTTCTTAGACTTGGAGCAGTGTGATGCGGCCATGGGGAGGGCGATTCGAGCGAGGCGGGCGGCAGTGGATGACATGCGGCACATGCTGCAGCATGCCAAGGGCGAGGGGGGTGTGGCGGGCGAGGGGCGGGGCTCACATGGATCCCCCATGCACTGGCATGATCTGCCATGGACGGTACGAGGCTTCTGGCAAGGAAACTGCCATGCCCTGGGTGCTTGCGTGGTTGTGTGCTTGCATGGCGGTGGGCTGATATGATTTGTACGTACGTTGTTTCATTCTCACAATAAGATACGGGGGGAGCATGTGAATCATTCCCGGCCCTTGGCCCTCCGTCCTCCCCCCCGCTCCCAGCCCCACCCGTTCCCACTCGTGCATCCCTGTTCCTCCTCTTCCTCACTCACTTGTGATCCGCTTCCTATTCCCCCCCGCACCATCTGGCCCCTCCCCTGCCGGCAGGGTTTATTCTCACCGGAATTTGGGGAGGCCCTGCAGCGGCAGCAGTCAGTGGAGGTGGTGCTGCTGCTGTGGTTCATCCTGCAGGGCCGGCACAGCAGAAAGGAGGGTAAAGGGGCTGCTTGCTGGGTGGAGGGGCGAGGGCGGCAGCAGCAGCAGCAGCAGCAGCAGCAGGATGAGGTGTCACGGGTGTTCGATGACATCGTGCATGTGGATGTGGTGGGCGACCTTTGTCTCATCTGGTCTACCGATGTGTGCCATGACTCCCGCAAGCAGGTGAAGCGCCAAGCAAGCAAGCAAGCGGATTAGCCACTGCTCATTGCTTCCATTGCATTTGTTCGAGCTCCCGTTTTTCGATCTGGCTCAGCACAGAGTGCCCGGGACAGACTCGCAGCGTCATGGCACCTCTCTCGTTCTCCTCTCCCTCCCGATCCCCTGCAAGCAGGTGGTGAGGCTGTGGGCGCTCGTGCCGGAGAGCCAGTGCCAGCGGTGCCTGCATCGCATCTGCATGCATCTCACCAGCTACTCGCCTGCCTACCTGCACTACTGTTCCCTGCACCAGTACCACCCCTCGCCCCCCTACCTGCGCATGCCAGCCGTGGTGCAACAGCCCAGCGTGCTGTGGTTTAAGCCCCCCTCAGGTGGGACTTGACTTGGCACATCTCCCACCATGCACTCTGCTCCTTTCTAGTCAGGCCGAGGGCCGATTTTGACACAGGTTTGATTGAACCCCGATTAAGTCGGGACAGGCCTGTCCGCTTCCTGCCTGTCATTGATTCGTTTTGCCTGTGGTCAAATAATTCTGACGTCTTGTTGTTGTGTGTCCTCCCTCAGTAGAATTGTTTGCCTGTTTGACACATACCCTATGACGGTGGGAGGGACTGTGGGTAGGAACTTTCCAGCTCGTTTTGTTCTCCCACCGATCAGAGACCTCAGCAGCAGCAATGGCCGCAGAAGCAGCAGCAGCGGGAGTGCAAGTGGATGTGGTGACGCCGCCCAAGTTCATCATGCTGCAGCCGGCCATGGCGCTGAGTCTGCTGGGCGAGGGCGGTGGTGCTGCGGCGTGTGCGCTGAGCAGCGTGCCGTTTGAGGTGAACGCAGAGGAGAGGGCCGCCATCCTCTGCCCCTCCAGCCTTGTCGTCCATGGCCGATCCGGTGGGTCAACTGCGGTCAACCCTGGGTCAACCCTGGTCGTTTTAGGTCAACCACGGCCTGATTATGTGGCAACTAGTCCAATGATTATGTGGCTAGTGAGCTTTTGACTCGTGCCGTTCCTTCCTTCCACTGACGGTGTACCCTTGACTTGCATCGTTCCCGCTTTGACTGTGGTTGCTTGTCTCCTTCTGAATGTCCTTGTTTTAGCTTGGATGGTACCAGTCGGTCAAGCACCAAAACATGCGTATTGCCGTGATGCCTTGCCATGCCTTGCCATCCATGTCAGCAACCACTCACATCCCCCGCATGCATTCCCTTCAATCCACGCTCAATACTCTCTGCAAATGATTGAAACCGTTGTCTCTCAAACGTTGACTCCTTTCTTCAGCCCGACCCATCATGCCCCCACCCACCCATCCACCCTCCCTCCCAGGCACCGGCAAGACGACAGTGATCATCCATCGGGCGCTGCGTCTCCACCGCCTCTTCTGCCACTCCACCGTCCCCGCTTCCTTCTCCACCGCTTCCCACCAGCTCTCACCATCCGGGACTCATTGCGGGAAAGGGGCGGCAGATCTAGAGGAGGGTGGAGTGGGCAGTGGAGTGGGTGTTGGAGTGGGCGGCGGAGTGGGCGGCGGAGGAGGGGGTGGCTTGCGGCAGGTGGTAGTGACGCGGAGCTTGCAGCTGTGTGCTGCCATTCAGACTGAGATCACTCATGCTGCACGGTTAGTGTGCCCCGGTTGACCCACTTGCTGCTGCAGGTGTCTTGTCAGGGTAGCGCGTGTGAGGTCAGTTGCCTTGTGCAGAGCAGATGCGGCGGATTTGTATCCTGTGGTATGTTGACCTTGTGTGCGTGCTTCACTGCGGAACATGGCTTGGCAGTGTGGTGAATTCCTTGTTAGCAACAGCTCGTTCGTACTAACAAACAAGCAACCCAAGTGTCACACTTCTCTTCCATCTCTCCCTCATTCTCTACATCCCTCCATCCATCATGCCGTCGCGATCGCCCCCACACTTCACATTCACCAGAGCGCTCTCTGCACTGGACGCCATTCAGCCGGGCTCCGCTCTCCCAGAGGCAACACAGCAGCAGGCAGCTCCCAGTCGTTCTGCCCACACCGGCCACCCCCTTGCCAGCAGCAGCAGCAGCAGCAGCAGCAGTGGCGGCGCGCTGCTGATGAGAGAGGACCTAGAGAGGGCGCTCATGGGCGGGCTACCCACGTGCATAGCCGCTATCCCCCCCGCCGCCTTCCCACTCGCCCTCACGCTCTCCAAGCTGCTACGCCTGCTCGACGCCTCCGTCACTCACCCCTTCCTGCAATCCACTCGCCGCCGCCGCAAGCGCGAGGCTGCGAGTCGGAGGCTTGTGCTGGCAGTGGCGATGAGCGGCCAGGGGCTGAGGGAGGCCTGGGAGGAGGGGGAGATAGGGCACGCGTGGGGAGGACGTGTGGAGAAAGAGAGGTGGGAGGCGCATAGCAGTGGTGCCTGGGGAAGGAGGGCACGAGGAGCGGGTGAGGGACGGTCGATGCGAGAAGGAGAAGGGATCATGGGCGGTTGGCAGCAGCATGGGATGGATAGAGAGGAGCGGGCGGAGGGACAGGAGGAGCAAGATGAGGAGGAGGAGGAGGTTGAGGTGGATTTTGAGCGGTTCAAGAGGCACTACTGGCCGGCCATGGATCAGCGGAGCACCAGAAAGGCCGTGATGGGTGCTGCGTTCGTGTACCGGGAAATCACCTCGCACATCAAGGGCAGCTTGCAGGCCATACGGTCACCCCTGGGGCACGTGGGGGAGGAGGAGTATGTGCGGGGCATGGTGGGAAGCAACCAGCGCACGAGCGCCATGGGTGAGAGCGAGAGGCGGGCTGTGTACGGCATCTTCCAGGCGTATGAGAGGAAGAAGAGGCAGCGGAGGGAGTACGATAGCGGCGACCTGGTGGTGTACCTCCACCGGGAGATTCGTCGGATGCGAGAGAACAACGAGCCCTGGTGGTCTGCGGAGAATGAGCCTTTGAGCGCATGTGTTCAACAGCCCATGCGCTCAACTGCCGGAAGAACCAGTTCCTCTTACTCACCTTCACATGCAGTCAAGCGCTCTCCTGCCTCGTCCTCTTCAGCCGCCCCCGGGCCCACATGCCCGCCTGTGTTTGATTGTGTGTCGGTGGACGAGGTTCAGGACCTCACTCAGGCGCAGCTGGCACTGCTGCCGCTGCTGTGTGGCAACGTGGCTTCGGGGTTTCTGTTCGCGGGGGACACAGCGCAGTGCATCGCTCATGGGGTTGACTTTCGCTTCGAAGACCTCGCACGAGTCGTTTACAACGAGTTTCTCAATAGAGAGGATGAATGCAGCAGGGACGTGGTTGTAAATCCTGGACACGAGAGGCGAGAACAAGGTGCTGGGCAGAGGAGGAGTAAGGTGGGGAGTCACTGTGAGAGCACTGCTCCTGGCAGCAATAGCAGTAGCAGTAGCAGTAGCAAAAGCAAGTTTATTTCGCGGGCGCCAGTGAGAGCGCTGCCGCAGTACCAGCTGGTTCGGAACTATCGGACACACAATGGCATACTCAAGCTCGCAAACAGCGTGGTGCAGCTGCTGAGAAGCTTCTTCCCGACGGCCATCGACCGATTGAACGAGGAGCTGAGCACGGTGGAGGGTGTGGCGCCCGTGATGGCGTCTGTGTCTCCCGCGTGGAAGAGGCAGCTCGCACAGGGCATGCCTCTCAGCGCCACCCAGGTCAGCATCTTCCGCCCATGCCGTGCCTGTGCTCTGCTGCATATTGCCGTGTGTGTGTGTGAACAAGGGAAGTGCAGGGTTACAACTGGTTGTGCTGCCGTTGGGGCAGAGCATGGATGATCCTGTTCGAATTAGTGGCCTGTGTGCCCATAATTGTGAGACTCGCCTCGCATTTCAGATTGTGGTCTGTTGGCGCATATAAACCCGCTTTTCTTTTCCGCCCCTCTCTCTCTCTCTCTCGCTCGCTCGCTCCCTCGCACCAGGCCATTATTGTGCGCAGTGCGGAGCAGAAGAGGGCGCTCTCGGCCCTCTTCCCAGTGAAGCCTGTCATTCTCACAGTGGAGGAGTGCAAGGGGCTGGAGTATGAGGTGAGGGGTTGGGTGCACAACACATTGGTAGAGGCTGGGTTAATACGCAGCAACTTGTTCATGAGATAGGGTTGGGCAAAGCAGAAGACGAGAAAGTGCTTCTTAAGCCTACCACTGCCATGTGTAAGCCTGTCTTTCCCCTGCAAATCACCTGACTGGCTGGTGGTGCGTGCTGCTGCTGATGCCTGTATCTCCACGGTGCTCCCCACCCATCGTCATCCCATACCACTTGCATCACAGGACGTCTTCCTCTTGAACTTCTTCCGCGCGCCCCACTCCACCACCATCACCACCACCCCGTGGAGCCTGCTCTACACCTACATGCACGACAACGGTCTGGGAGATGGGGCGCACAGGAGTGGTGGTGGTGGTGGTGGTGCCTGCCCTTGTGAAACGGGGAAGCAACTGCTTGCCTTCGACGAGCTCAAGTGGGTAGCCCTGCCAGTGCTGTTCTTCTGAGAGTGGTGTTCGTTATTCTTCCCCCCTCCCCCCCTCCCCACCCCCCCCCCCCCCAAAAAATAAAATATACATATATATAATCCTGTCACCTTTCTTTGTTCTATGCAGGCACTGTTCGCTGTGTGCGGATCTGAAGCAGCTGTATGTGGCTATAACGAGGGCAAAGCAGCGGCTGTGGGTGCTGGATGAGGCAGACGAGGAGAGTGGGCCCAGCGAATTTGGTGTGCGTGCGGGGAACCACAGCGGCCCAATGATGGACCTGTGGGCGGCGATGGGCCTTGTGGTGGTGAAACATGGTGAGGAGATCGGAGCACAGTCAGTGAAGCGGGCTTCAGAGGAGAAGGACTGGCGCTCACTTGCCTTCACTGTGAGTGCTCTCATTTCTGCAAGTGCTGCCAGTGTTGTCAGTGCTTTGAGTGCTTCGCTTGAGGAATATAGCAACAGTCCAACCTTCCACGCCCCTCCCATGCACCCACCCATGCCTATTGCCCACCAGTTTTTCCAGAGGGGCGACTACGAGGCGGCAGAGGCAGCATACGAGCGCGCTGGGGACACTTTCAATGCCCGCTTCTCCCGTGCCATGCTGCTGTACGTGGCGGGCATGGGCCGCACGCCACCGCCAACCGCAGAAGCCTCCTCTGTCCTGCAGTCTGCCTGCCCCTCCGCGCTGCCCTCTGTGCACGCAGATCTGTCTCTGCTTTCCGCCGCCGATTTGCTGCTCGCTGCCGCCCGCCTGTTTGAGGACATAGGAAGGGGAGCGGAGGCAGGCCGCACGTACAGCAAGGCCAGAAGCTTTGAAGATGCGGGTACGTGTTGAGTGCTTTGTAGCCGCGTGGCAAGGTTGAGTAGTGGCCACAGGATCTTGAGTGCTTGACTGTCTGAAGCTGGCAACTCTGGTTCTCTGGTGTTGCACCTAATTCTTGTTGCATTGCTTCCCCCCTCCCCTGCTATGTTGCACTATACGCGATTCGCGTATCAGTCGCGTTCGACTTATACGCTTACGTACGAACGTGAGACGGGGGATTTCCGCCCCAGGATACGCTCCAAATACGTTCGCCCGGGCAGGGGAAAAAAGTTCCGGGCAGGGGAAAAAAGTGCCAGGGAGTGAGTGATGGTCCCTATATTCAATGTTTCTTGCCAATCTGCGTCGATCTGCTGGCGGAAGACTAGAATCGCGCGGATCTGCTGGCGGAATACTAGAATCGCGCGGATCTGCTGGCGGAATACTAGAATCACACGGATCTGCTGGCGGAAGACTAGAATCGCGCGGATCTGCTGGCGGAATACTAGAATCACACGGATCTGCTGGCGGAATACTAGAATCGCGCGGATCTGGCGGCGGAATGCCAGATCTGCGCCCCTCTGCCTACTTGCGTCCAGCTGCGACATTAGCGGTCGACATAGGTTTTCGAAGCTGACGATGTGAAAGCCAAAGTGTGGTTGGAAGGGAAGGGTTGGGTTTGGGAGGTGGTGTGAGGTTATGTGCGGTGGAAGGGGGGGGTGGGTGCGGGGGAAGGCATTCGACTTTCAGATGTCAAAATTAGGTTACGGAGAATCGCAGATCGCGAGAACGGTCGCAACATATTTTTTTTTTCGACGGGCTGCCCGTCCAGGCGTATCGCGTATTTGTCCCCGTATCACGTTTTTTCGTTTATACGTGAACGCATAAACGTGATACGGAAAAAGCCCTCAGCGTATAGTGCAACATAGCTCCCCTTCATCAACCTCCCCTGCATCAACCCCTCCTTCCCGTCCTGTCGATACATTGGCTAATCACCTCATCCGTCTTCTTCCTGTCCGCCCTCCCACAGTGCGCGTCTACCTCTCCGTCTGTCACCCGCCTGATAATCTGAAGGCCGCCCGATGCTACGAGAGGCTAGGAAGGTGCAACGAAGCTGCTGATTGCTACAGTGCTGGCGGAGACATGCACAGTGCGCTCTCTGTGTGCCTGCGAGCTCGCACCTTCAGCAAGGGCCTCTCGCTTCTCGACAGCTGGCAGTCGGCTGAAGCCACCTCAGCATCAGGGGCTCTACCCAACCACGAGTCTCTGCATATGAAAGGATGGTACGTGACTCAATGCGCAGTGAAGCACGAAGAGGAGCGTGACTATAACGAGATGCTGCGATTCATCCGGCTGCACCCGTCGCTGCAAGCAAAGCGGGAGTTCCTCGAGAGAGGGCGGCACCTGCGGCAGTTGGCAGTGTTGGAGCGAGAGGAGGGCGACAGCACCCGCGTGCCGCTGCTGCTGCAGAGGGCCGGTATGCTCCTGGAGGCGGCACTGTGCCTGTGGCAGCTTGGCTGGCCGGGCCGCTCTCTCGTCTGCTTCGTGCGCCACCTGCAGTGGCGGTTGAACATGGCGGGGCGAGGGGCATGGATGGGGGAGGGGAGGGGCGGAGGGGAGGAGATGCATGCTAGGGGAGGTGTGGAGTTGGGCCGAGAGGAGGTTGAGATGGCCCAGCGGTTGCGAGGTGTGGAGAGGTGGGGCTTTTCTGATCGAATGGCGTGTGAGGATTGTGATTTGGGATGGGCGAAGGTGGAGATGGGTGTGTTGCTTTTCCTGCTGCAGCATTACTCTTTTGATGGCAGCACCGGCGGTGGTAGTGGTGTCGACGTGAGCAGTTCAGGTGAGGCTGCTGTGAGTGCGCCAGGTGATGACAAGGGAATGCGCAAGGATGTGGAAAGGGAGGCGAGAATCTCTCAAGCATGGAGGATGGTGAGGCTGGGGCAGATGCTGCATGCAGGTGGAGTGGAGGCGGGTGGAGGGACGGCTGGTGGGCAGGCGGGGTGTGCTGGTGGCGGCTCCGTCGCTAGTGCAGGGGTGTCTGGCGAGGTGAGTGGGTGCGAGTTGCTGGGTGCAGAGATGACAAGGGAGGAGATGATCGAGGCTGGGGAGTTGTGGCACGAGCAGAATGTGCGTCGCAAGGCGGCAGAGAAGGCGGAGAGGGAGAGAAGGGAGAGCCAGGTGCAGTGGCAGGAGGACATGGTGGCACAGGAGGAGGGGTGTGAAACGGAGTGGAAGGGGGCGGAGCAGCTGCGAGCAGAGCTGATGCTTGCTCACTTGGGGCTACAGGTGGCTGTGCGCATGCTGCAGCACGCACAGCAGCGCCTTGTGCTCTGGCTGGAGGGTAGGACAGAGTCTACTGCCCGTTGGCACGCGGCAGCAGCAGCAGGGACGGCAGCACAAAGGCTGTCGGCTGCGCTTCCCTGCACAGGGACCCTCACCCGTGTTCCTGCCATTGCCCATCTGCAGCACAAAGTGGCTCTGTGGTGGGCGCGTTGGTCCGCCCGCCTCACGCCCCTCCTGGGCTCGCTGCACTACCTGCAATGCAATGCCATGCCTGCTGCCGACTCCAGCCTCCCCCACCTTCACGCTGCCTTCTCCCTCCTCTCCGCGTCCTTCCACCGCCGCCTCTCCTCCTCCTGCCAGCTTGATGACATGGCGCTGCCGTGGGCCAAGGGGGTGGCACTGGAGCCACTGGCAAGCACAGGGAGGAGTGGTGCGATGGAGGGGCGGAGGGCGGTGGAGGTGGTAGCAGGGGTGTGGGAGAGGGAGTATGCGAGCCGGTTGAATGGAGCGAAGCAGGTGGCGTGCAGTGGAGCTGTGACCTGCTCCTCTGCGCTCCTCAGCCGCTTCCGTAAGGTCGGTATGATTCTTCTGTCTGCCTTTGTGTGAATAGTTGCATGCGAGAGGATCATGTTCCAATACGCCTTGATCAGCTCTTCACTCACCGCACCTTTGCTCTGAACTCAACAATGTTGCTTTCTAGGGCTAAGGGCGAGATTCATGTGCTGTGCTATGCTTCCAGGTGCACTTCTCTGTCAACTCTCTCATCCTTGTCTTCAAATCACCCTTCTGGAATTCAACGCAGGCCATGATGCGTGCTCGCGTCTTCAACTCACAAGGTCACTCTTCAGCTGTTTCCGAGGTGACTTTTGAGTCGACTCAAAAGGTGACGTTTGAGTCGACTCAAAAGGCATCAGTGTCTTCCCAGCAGCCTCCCTACCCCTCTGCCCAACCCCTCGCCCTCCTCCCTCTGGTGGAACATTCACTCGCACTGCTGCATGCTGCGATGCACTCCTGCTCTCGCTCTGCCATCGTCCCATTCCCCTCCGCCACTCCTCTGCACCACCTCTTCACCTCCCTTCTGCTCCACCCGCCCCCGCCTGCCTTCGCGTCAAACAGTCTCCAATCGTGCACCCATCCAACCCTCAGTCGCAACCTGCGCCGCACTCTGCTGGAACTTCTATCTGCCCTTGTAGCTCTGCTGCACACATACGAGCCATCCAGGGGTGCGCTGGGGAAACAAACTGATGGAAGTGGTGGGGGAAGTAGAGCCGGCCGAGGCAGCAGTGTGCCTGGTGGGAGAAGCGGATGGGGGATGTCTAGCGAGGGAGGGGGTTGTGGATGGGGCAAGGAAAGAGGTGGAAACGCGATGGGGCAGTCTGCTGCAATGCTGAGTGTGCCGCTGGCGATGGGAGATGCATTCTGGAGGGTGATTCCTGCGCGCTCACTGGACGAGACATGGAGAGTTGTACAGGTGGTGCTCAGGGGCTTGCTTTACGCGTGCCATTCTCCAAGTACCCAGTCAAGCAACAACGCAGGTGTGGGCATTGGGAAGGGCAGCAGACGAGCGAGCATGCCGGAGCTGCTATCTGCCATGCCGTTCTCATGCTCACAGAGAAATCCCCTTCTTTCCGTTAGCTCCTTTGACTTTTCTTCCACCCAAGCCCTGCTTCACGAGGCGTGGCGGAGTCGAAACGATCACGGAGCTGCTGAAATGGGCCTCTCTCCTGCCTGGGCCGCACCGCTGCTGCTCCCACTTGCGCCCTTACTCTCCGATAATGCACTTCTCTTCCTTCCCTATCCTCCAGCGTCCATTCTTGACCTCCCACCACCACTAGCCGACGTCCTTGCTCGACTGTTGTGTGTCCTGGTGCCTGCCCTGCATGCTGTGAGCGAGAGAGACGAGGAGCACGTGGGTCATACAGGGGGAAAGGGAAGACCGAGTGAGGTAAGGGGGTGTGGGAATGAGCTGTGAAATCCAGTGGAATGGAGATTCTAGGATTTTGCGCAGATTGAAACGGAGGGTGTCGCCACATGTTCCAATTTTTACACATAGTTCTGTGCATATTGATGAAACCTGTACATATTCGTAGTATTGATGCCAAATAAAACCAGATTGGTAGTATTCTGTCCTGATGCTGAATTCTGTGGTTTCCTCTTCTTCTGTTCAATTTAGCCTTTGTTTGTTGTTCCCTGTTCCCTGCTTCCTGTTTACCTGTTCCTTGTTCTCAGATTCATGTTCCCTGTTCCCTGCCCCTGCCCTCTTCACTCTTCTAGTCTGCCTCCATGCAGCAGAGACAATGTGAAAACGACTCGTCCACTTAGCGGTCTTCTACATGCTTTTGGAAAAGGATAACCAGCAGAAACATCAGCCACAACCATGACGTCATATTGCACAGTAGTTATGGCAAGCACTTGATGCAGCTCTTGGCATGAACAGCATCAACCAGCGGCACTGTCACATAGCGGTGCATCCCCCCTTCCGGCTCTCCAGTCTCACAAGAAAACGCCTCCTTTACAGTCAACAGTAGGCCTCTCCACTCGCACAAAAAGCGTCCTCCATAGCCACAGTAGGCCTTCCCACTCACACAGAAAGCCTCCTTTTTAGTCACACAGTAAGCGTCACAATTTCACAGGAGGGCTCCCTTCCGTCACACAGGAGGCCTCTCCAGGGCAATCCAGCCAAACGCCCCTCTTCTGAAATCCTTGAGAACTCTGTGTGCCGCCTGGTTCACATCCCCCATGCACAGCCGGTCTGCCAGTGCCTCTAGGAACCTGCAGCGAGAAGAGGGAAGGAGGATCGAGTTGGAAAGACAAACAAGGGGATTTCAGAAGCTTTTAAAGAGGAAGAAAAACAAGGGGGATTTTCAGAAGCTTTTAAAGAGGAAGAAAAACAAGGGGATTTTCAGAAGCTTTTAAAGAGCGCTGTGTGAGCTATCTGCCTCGTGATTCACATTCCCCATGAACAGCCGGCCTGCCGGTGCCTCCAGGATGGGGGGCAATGAGAAGGGTGCAAAGCGGTAGGACGGAGCGGAGCAGGCAAAACGTGGGCTATGTGCTGACTGGAAGTGCTCTAGAGTGTGCAGTGCATACTATGGGGGTACAAGTTGGTGAACTATCCAGCTACAGAGAAGTGCAGTGTGCTTGCAGTTTGCATGGTGAACGAAAGGATCGAATGCAATAAGCTCACTCTTCGCCAGTTAAGCTGTCTGCTTTGATCTTGTACCGGCTGGACAGCACGTGGGGCCCTGCAGGCACTCACGGAGACAAATGGGCGTAAGACGGATTCGTTGGGTGGATTGGGGTGGAATGGGAGAGGATGGGAGGGGAGGGAGGAGGGGGCGATGGGATGGGAGGAGACACGAGTCACGTAAGACGAGATAGGGTGTGGTGAAAGAAAGCATTGAATGCATTCGAGTTACAAGCCACACGCTTTCGAAAAGCTTCACAAGCCTGATACAAGCAACGACTCACCAGCAGTAGGGAGTCTCTTCAGCAGCTCCACCAGAATAGCAGCCACGCCAGCGACAGCATAAGCCGCTTCACCAATGTCGTTGCACATGGCCAACCGTGCTGCTGCTGCCTGGTCCGCTATTCTTGCTGGCAGCACTCCCGGCGCGTCTAGCAGGTCCAGGCCCTCTCCCAACCGCACCCACCTGTTGGACGGCAGTTCAGAACATTTGGGGGGCACGCACAGTGCACGCAGAGGGCACACCAGAGGGCACCCCAGTCACAGCAGCAATCAGACGCCACAGTGAAGTTAAGCCTGAAGTGCAAGGAATTTGAGCTCAGCTTTATACCCTGCTCTCTGCCTGCCCTACTCATTGCCCTTTGCGTCGACCTTCTCATCACAGCACTGAAGTGCATGCAGGCCTTGCGTTGCGTCACCTCGGACCGTGATGGCAAAACCTACTTCCGCAATCCAGCCTGACTAAATCAAGCTAGGCTCACTCGCTGGCGAGCGTGGGCGTGCCAATAGTCCCAACTTTCGCTGACTAATCTCAGAGGTGTTTAAACCTGTGCACTCGTTTAAACCTGCCGACTCATTTGAACGACTCTGGAAAAAACACCATTTGAATCTGCAGACTCACTTGCCCCCGTTTGACTCACTTGACCTCCCGTGTGACCCCGGGCCTGGGAGCGCTGGCAACGACTCGGCGGTTGAGCAGACGATTGATGACTGCTGACTTGCCCACGTTGGGGAATCCCACCACCGCTGCCCGCACCTGTGGAAGGAGCACGTAGGGACAGAGCAAGAGGGGGGGGGGGAGAGGGTGGAAGAGCAAGGGAAATGGGGTAGAGGAGAGGGAGGAAGAGGGAGGGAAAGAGCCGAGGAAGGGGGAAGGGAGTGGATAAGCTGCCATTTGATGAGGGCTGGCTTGCCGATGCTGGGGAGTCCCACCACCACTGCCTGCCTGCACCTGATGAACACACGGCATCTGTGTTCTCTTCTCTCGCACCACTGCCCACAGCTGATAAACACAACGCAGCGGACAGGGTTGGCTCGTTTTGGTGGGACGAGAGAACAGAGCTGGAAAGTCAGGGCTGGCAGTAAAAGGACCTCACCGTCCCCACGAGCTCAGACTTGAACCAATGGAGAAAGATGTGATGACAAGTTTCGAGGCGCCTCAGAAGGCAGGACGGGCTGCACAATGCTGCTCCCAACCTCTTCCCAAGGGGAATGGCACTGCCTGCCACCACAGACTTGAGAGACACAGCAAGGCTTACAGCGCGCGGGCGGAGTCCTTTGTCTCGTCTGCGAGTGTTGATGGCCTTGCTGACGCTCATGGCCTGGCGAGTGAGCTTCAGAATGCCCTGGAGAGAGTGGGATGGGATAGAGAGACACAACGGACGGGACGAAAGGATCAGGCGTAATTCGTTGGAAAAGAGTTTTGAAACGACGGAGGTGGTGGAGAAGATAAACTCCTGGAGTGAGGTGGAGGAGGAATACGCCATCATGGTCTCCCCTACCCGGTTCCTGAGAAACTTTTCTTTGGTTGTTGAGAATCCTCAAGAACTAACTAGGGAGTAGGATGGCGTCCAGGTGAGTGACTGCTGCAGATGAGTTCTGGTCTCGCAACTGAATCTCGCCATGTGAGAACATAAACGAGTGACTGCTGGCGTCCAGGTGAGTGACTGCTGCAGATGAGTTTTGGACCGGTTAGGGGCTCTATCTCGTTTGACTGCAAAGAGCTGGTCTCCTCCCACGCCCCCCCCATGCCATACCCTTCCATGCCACATACTCCCATGCAAAGCACATACCGACCCATGGAACATACCGACCCATGCTGCCCATCTGTGAAGCAAAAGCCAGCGACATCCTGCTGTCCCCCGTAGTATTCCGCCCACGCCTTTCTGTCCCCTGTTGTCACCATATCCTCTCGGTTCAACACCAGCACCTTGGGCTTGCCGCCTATCCACTCGTCCAGCTGCAATCATATTCAGGTGATGGGGTGGTGGGAGGGGAATTGAGAGTATGATCACCCCCCCGTAGTACTCCGCCCACGCCTTTCTGTCCGCTGCTGTGTCACCATGTCCTCTCGGTTCAACACCAAAACTTTTGGCTTGCCGCTTATCCACTCGTCCAGCTGCAGAGTTTGGATTTGATGGAATGGGGATTGGGCGGTTGTGCGGAGCATGTGGGGGAGCAGAGTGGGGAGGCAGGCACAATGCCACGTTCCTTCTCTCCCGGGCATGCGCTGTCATCATGTGCTCACCGGTTCAGAGTGGTTCAGCAAGAAGGCCTTGGGCTTGCTGCATCTCCACTCGTCTGAGGGAGCGTGCAAGAACGCAGCCACACAGTAATCACAAGATTTCACCCGATGGTTTGTTTGTTGATGTGTAATACCAGAGACGGACAGCTCACCTGGGGGTGCGTGGTGGCTGCGGCACTCAGGCGTCGCGCACCTCTATCGTCACGCCACGTCCACCCACCGCAGCTGCTGTGACTTGTAACCACGAGGTTATGATGCGTTGAAACACAGCAACCACTAGTCACGGCAACTCACCTGCGGGTGCGTGGTGGCGAGCGTTATTCTGGCATCTCGCACCTCTATTACCACGTCCACCCACCGCAGCTACTGTTGCTGCTTGTGTTGCCAGGATGCGACTCAGCACGGAAACCAACCACCAGGCATCTCAGCAACGGCCTCACCTGCGGGTGCGTGGTGGCGAGCGGTATTCTGGCGTCGCGCACCTCAATCACCACGTCCACCCACCGCAGCTGCTCCTTGAGGTCCCTCTCCGCCTTCGCTATGTGCCCCGGGTACCACTGCCATAGGCGAGGGGGGTGGGGGGGGGGTGGGGAGGGGGGAAGAGGGGAAGAAAAGGGAAGGGATGGTTTGAAGGGGGAGGGGGGGAACACATCTTGTGAAAATCGCTTCAGGTCCCACTCCGCATTGCCTACGTGACCGGGGTACCACTGCCAGAAGGGGTGACACCATGGCGGCATGGAGGGGGAAACAGGGAAGGGGGGGGGTTGCCGTGGGAAGGCGACACGTGTTGAGACGTCTCAGAAGTCGCTTCAGGTCCGTCTCCGCCTTGATATTGAGTTGAGAAGTCTCAAAAGTCGCCATTCTGTTGGAGTTGCTTTTGCGAATCTCACAGAATAAGGGGGATGGGAGGAAGGGGGGGTATTGGAGTTGGAGGGAAGGCAGGATAGGGTCTGGAGAAGGGTATAGGGGAGTGGGCAGCAGGGCGGATGGCGGAAGCATGGAGGAAGGGAGGGAGCAGGAAGCTAGCAAATGAAGGGGAGTGGGGGGTAACACCACAGCTAAGTGGCAAAACACACACGCGTTCTGCTGTGTCTTGCGTCTGGACGCAGCGATGCAGGACGCGCGTCCAGACGCAGGACGCACCCTGTTTTTTTTTTCGGTCTGCCCCTGGAAAAAAAATTCCCGAAACGCGAAATTGACATTCGCGAATTCGACGCGAATGTCAATTTCGCGAAAAAACGACCCCCCAAAAGCAACTCGACATTGAAAACAGCCCCCCCCCCCCCAAGTTCAAACCCCTCTACACAGATTTGTAAAGCCCCCAACCCAACCCACCCAACCACTCTACATCTAGAACATCCAACCTTTGTGGCCTCCAACCAAACCCATTTAGGGTTGCACACATCTCATTTGTGCGCCCTCCATTCACAACCCCAATTCTCCTTAGTAAACCCTTAAGGTTTTATTGTTGGGGAAAATTTTGCATTCAATGTGTGCAAAGGTTCTCCCCCCCCCCCCCCCCCCCCTCTTCCCAAGCCCTATAACTTTTTTTTACAGCTGCCCGGGGTTTTTTTTTGCCCTGCCCGGGCATGCGTCTTTTCATGCGTCCTAAAGGCCCTCATCTAGCGTCCTGCGTCTAAGACGCTGCGTCTGGACGCAAGCGTCCTAGACGCAGGACTTGTCTTTTGCCACATAGCACCACAGGAGACGCACGCGGAGAAGGGGGAGGAACCAGGGGGAGCATGGTGAGCATGGTGAGTACAGGTGTTCGCCATGCTCCATGCTCCCTCTCAGCCGTTTTTGGTACAGATATTCGCCGCTGCATGAACACAGAGGCGTATGGAGTTTCGTCAGGAGGATCCTGAGATAGGCTTGTACAATAGAGACCTCTTGCGTTCTTGCCACGGGTATTGGGCCTAGGGTTCGAGGTCTAAGGTTTTAGGGTTGGGGTCTGATGTCTGATCGACAGAAGAACCAAGAAATTGCGTGCCATGCGGAATGCAGGAACCATTTGGCGCTCCAAGAACCACAAATTGTAAACTTCACATGCCACCTACACACAAACACCTCCTCCCCTCGGCCTTGCTTCCCCACCCCTCTCCCCACTCTCCCCGCCCTCTCCCTTTTGCGCTTCCCTCCCGTCCCACGCTACCCCAGCATCCTGGGTGTCAAATAACTGTGGTAAGATGTTCACTTTCCCCCAGGGTTATGCCGCTGGTTGTACCTGCACCAGCCGAACCGTCCTAGTCAGGAAGTCCATGTCAGCTGCCACGTCAGCCCATCGCTGCTGCTGCTGATCCAATATCAGCCTATCCGAGGAGCCCACGTCAGAATAGCTGCTACGCTCTTTCGCCATTTGCGGTCTCCTCCGCTCTTCCCGTCCATCTTTCGCTCCTGAGTCTGAAACTTGCGCATATCTTCCGCTTCTACTTTGCGCCGATTGCGCGCCAGAAGCTGCGCGCGTGGCTCCGCGGAGGCGGCGCAAGTCTGGCGCAGGCGGAACGGGCGTGGCGGAAGCGGTGGGAGGCGAGCTGGGCGACGGCACTGAAACAGACACGCGGGATTCGCTGAACCTGGACGCGAAATCGCGCGATGCGAGACTAACGAAACATTGCGAAGAAATGGTGTGACATGGGCGAAGCGGGGTTACTTCGAGTGCCCCTATGGATACCGCCTGCTGACCACTAAAGCTGACTGCCATGGTTGCTGAAATCGTTTGCAGTTCTGTTATGTTTCTCATTCTGATGTGACGGATGCTCTCGTCTGGGCCTAGGCGAACAGAGCTACAGATCTGTAACAAAAGCTTTCAATGCTCATAATAACCATCACAATAGTTTCATGGTAGTATCGTAAAGGGAGGCAATTGCATAGCGAGCTTTGTATGGGGTATGGATTGAGTGTCATGACATTCACTGCGAGGTACATCTGTACCTTTTGCCACGTCACCCTGTTGGCAATGGCAAATATGACGGATGCTGAATACGATGCTGAATTGAGAACAGTTCAACTTCCATCAGTCTAGAATTCACAGCCCAAGACCTGAATTGCTCAACGCAAGTCAACGCGGGGCAAAACTGTGGGCTGCGGGAGGCAAACTGTGCACAGTTTGCCCCTGTAATTCGTTTATGAGAAATTCGAGTTTCTTGGGATACACATGCACGCGTTTCACTTTGGGGTTCGTTCTGTAGTGATCCAAGCCCCACGTTTTCACAATTCATGGAGACCTGATGTTACCACAATCCCTGAGCGTCATAATCAGGCCAACCTCGCCTGTTGTTATCACGCAGAACTGGCTGCGGTCTTTTTCCATGTGTAGGCTCCCGACAATGCCACGTCCTCGTGAGTTATTATCACAAGGTTAAGGCCGCACGGCGCCATGTCGCACCTGTCGCACGGCAGGGCTGGGCGACGAGGCCAGCACGAACTCTGCCGTGCTCTCCGAACCCGCTACAGCTGCGCGACGCGACAGCAGGCGGCCACAGAAACTGCTACAGCCGGCAGGATTGACCGTGGATTACACACGCAAACTATCCGAGTTATTTCCGGCTCCGCCAATTCCACGCACGCTGGCGTTTCCTCACGATTCCGCCCACCCGTTCACACGAGCTTCTTATCCGCTCTCTCCACCCGCAACGCTTGCGCTCGTCTCGCGAATAGTATCGTCCGTCAGAATGGGCAACCGCGCCGTCTCGCCGCCGGTAACTTTGACCAGCCTCGTCTGTCAGCCGTCATCAGCCAGCCGGCCACCTGCCGGCCATGGGAAAGGGTGCCTTGGGAGCGAAAAGTAGCACCAGCAGCGAGTACGTCGGTCGGAATGGGGGCTTCCCGTGACCCCCCTCCCGCTGCGCTTGGCTCCTCCGACCGTCAGCGGCTCGCGCTCGCCAATCCCTTCGCCAGCCAATTCGCCAATCCTTTCGCCAACGCCGTCGCGAGTCCTTTTGCGAGCACCTTGGGGCGGCAGGGCGGCGCTCGCGGGGTGTCAAGTGAGACGGACTTGAAGGAGGTGTCGGAGACACTCGCTATAGTGTCACTCGTTAAGGCGTTCAGAGACAGAGGACACTATGTCGCACAGCTGGGTACGAACCAGAGGGAATGGATGAAATATAACAACCACTTTACCATCGATTTCGTTCTACAGTCTACTTGCCTCTTGTCAAGCCAAGAGTGGCCCCCTCCCCTCTTTTGCCCCTTGCTTCAACCATACATGTCCCTTCTCACCTCCCACACCCCCATGCGCCCCCCCCCCCCCCCCGTTTTGCCCTGATCTCCCCTTCACGAATCCATGGCAGACCCCTTGGGCCGGCACCTTGGCCCCCTAAAGGATAATGCCCAGCCGCCTGCTGCTGCTGCGGCTGCAGCAGCTGCTGCGAATTCCTCGTTCACTAAACCAGGCAGCAAGGGCAAGGCGTGGGCGCTAGCTGGGGTGAGCAGGACATCTCAGATCACAGGTGCTGGCAAGAAGGGAACCGGTGCTGCTGGCAGCTCTGGCGCCTCGTCTCTGCCCGAACCTGAGAACGCGCCGGACCTGTACCGCCTGCTTCGGAACTACCCGGAGCTGGACCTGGGCGCAGTAGGTCTGGAAGGCATTGATGTGAAAAAGAGGTACGGTCCTGGATGCGCCTTCAGGATAAAAGATAAGCTTGTAATGTGCTCTAAGAGCGAGCATACTGTATAATGTTACCCGCCGCACAACGCAACCGACACGACCGCATGGGTACAATACAACAACACGCTGTCAGTGCAACCACTTTCTGCAAAACGTGATGACTAGTACCTGCTTGTTCAGATAGCAGCCGTGCAGCACATCGTGCGTGGTGGGCACAGCTTTTGATGCACAGCACAGCACAGCACAGCACAGCACAGCACAGCACAGCACAGCACAGCACAGCACAGCACAGCACAGCACAGCACAGCACAGCACAGCACAGCACAGCACAGCACAGCACAGCACAGCACAGCACAGCACAGCACAGCACAGCACAGCACAGCACAGCACAGCACAGCACAGCACAGCACAGCACAGCACAGCACAGCACAGCACAGCACAGCACAGCACAGCACAGCACAGCACAGCACAGCACAGCACAGCACAGCACAGCACAGCACAGCACAGCACAGCACAGCACAGCACAGCACAGCACAGCACAGCACAGCACAGCACAGCACAGCACAGCACAGCACAGCACAGCACAGCACAGCACAGCACAGCACAGCACAGCACAGCACAGCACAGCACAGCACAGCACAGCACAGCACAGCACAGCACAGCACAGCACAGCACAGCACAGCACAGCACAGCACAGCACAGCACAGCACAGCACAGCACAGCACAGCACAGCACAGCACAGCACAGCACAGCACAGCACAGCACAGCACAGCACAGCTCAGCACAGCACAGCACAGCACAGCACAGCACAGCACAGCACAGCACAGCACAGCACAGCACAGCACAGCACAGCACAGCACAGCACAGCACAGCACAACACAGCTCAGCACAGCTCAGCACAGCTCAGCACAGCACCGCACAGCACAGCACAACACAGCTCAGCACAGCTCAGCACAGCTGTTCTGGGCAGTGGGGAAGGTAGTGGGGCTGTTTTCCCATCTCATCGCCCCGTCACTCTCCCCCTTCCCTCTCAACGCACCCGTGGCAGGTACTTCCTGGGAGAGCAGCTGCGCACCGTGGTGCGGGCAGCACAGCTGTTCTGGACGGTGGAGGAGGTGCTGGGGTGCGGTTGCTTCCCATCTCATCGCCCCATCTCTCTCCCCCCTCCCTCTCAACACTCGTTGCAGGTACTTCCTAGGAGAGCAGCTGCGCATCGTGAGGGCAACACAGCTGTTCTGGACGGTGGAGGAGGTGGTGGGGCTGCTGCGCAACGCGTACTGCCGCACGAGCACAGTGGAGTGCGCACACCTGGCGAGCAGGCAGCAGAAGCGGTGGGTGCAGGCTGCTATGGAGCGACCCCCACTGCGCCAGCTCTTCTCACCAACCCAGCAGCGCCAATTGCTGCACCGCCTGCTGTATGCCGGTGAGTAGTCGGGTGGGCGAGCATTGTGGTACCTGGAGTGCGCGCACCTGGCCAGCAGGCAGCAGAAGCGGTGGGTGCAGGCCGCCATGGAACGACCTCCCCTGCGCCAGCTCTTCTCCCCCCGCCAGCAACGCCACCTGCTGCAGCGCCTGCTTTATGCCGGTGAGGAGTGCTGCATGCAGGTGACAGCTGGGGTGGGTGAGAGCTGGGGTGGGTGGGCGAGAGCTGGGGTGACAGGAGGTTTCTCGCTTAAGGCATCGGTTTGGCATTGAGAACGGGGAGGCACCGGTCCCACTCCCACTGCTTCCTGTGTCACATCCTGCTTACCCTATTTTTCTCCCCATCCACCCCCACCCATGCCCACCCACCCTCATCCCTATCCACCCCCACCCCATCCCTGCCCACCCAACCCACCCCTGCCCATCTACGCCCACCCCTGCCCATCCCCTTTCCACACAGACACCTTAGAGCGCTTCCTCGCACGCAACTTCCCTTCGGTGAAGCGGTTTGGCATTGAGGGCGGGGAGGCGCTGGTGCCACTCTCACCACACACCCCGCTACCCCTCCCCACCCACCCCCACCGCTGCTCATTCCCATTCAGACGCCTTTGAGCGTTTTCTCGCGCGCAAGTTTCCTTCAGTGAAGCGGTTTGGCATTGAGGGCGGGGAGGCGCTGGTGCCGGGGCTGCTGGCGCTTCTGGGGCGGGCTGCTGGCAGCGGTGTGAAGTTTGTGGAGCTGGGCATGGCTCATAGGTGGGTGGTGGGGCACAGGTGGGTGGGGCGCACAGGTGGGCATGACTCACAGGTGCGTGGGGCACAGGTGGGTGTTGCATAGGGCACAGGCAAGTGTGGTATGGCTCATGGGTGGGTGGGGCAGGTGGGTGGGGCGCACAGGTGGGTGGGGCGCACAGGTGGGTGGGGCGCACAGGTGGGTGGGGCGCACAGGTGGGTGGGGCGCTGGGCGCACAGGTGGGTGGGGTGCACAGGTGGGTGGGGTGCACAGGTGGGTGGGGTGCACAGGTGGGTGGGGTGCACAGGTGGGTGGGGTGCACAGGTGGGTGGGGTGCACAGGTGGGTGGGGTGCACAGGTGGGTGGGGTGCACAGGTGGGTGGGGTGCACAGGTGGGTGGGGTGCACAGGTGGGTGGGGTGCACAGGTGGGTGGGGTGCACAGGTGGGTGGGGTGCACAGGTGGGTGGGGTGCACAGGTGGGTGGGGTGCACAGGTGGGTGGGGTGCACAGGTGGGTGGGGTGCACAGGTGGGTGGGGTGCACAGGTGGTTGGGGTGCACAGGTGGGTGGGGTGCACAGGTGGGCGGGGTGCACAGGTGGGTGGGGTGCACAGGTGGGTGGGGTGCACAGGTGGGTGGGGTGCACAGGTGGGTGGGGTGCACAGGTGGGTGGGGTGCACAGGTGGGTGGGGTGCACAGGTGGGTGGGGTGCACAGGTGGGTGGGGTGCACAGGTGGGTGGGGTGCACAGGTGGGTGGGGTGCACAGGTGGGTGGGGTGCACAGGTGGGTGGGGTGCACAGGTGGGTGGGGTGCACAGGTGGGTCCTTCTCTCCCTCCCCGTGCATGATCTGCAACAAACTGCTGTGCTGTAGGCGTTTTCTGAGATGTTTAAGAATATTCCGGTGACCCGGTCTACTCTTCTTGCTGCTCGCACTCTCCTCGTCCTTAACCTTCCCCTCTTCCGCCCTGCCCTTCCCGCACTCTCCTCGTCCTTAACCTTCCCCTCTTCCGCCCTTCCCCACTTATCCCCTTCCTCCCCTTCCAAACTCCCCTTCCCCACACGTTCCAAAAGAGGTCGCTTGAGTGTGCTGCACGCGGTCCTGGGAAAGCCCCTGAGTTCCATCTTGTCTGAGTTCAAACCACCTGAGGTTTCACCTGAACTCTCAGAGCTTCTGCAAGTGGGCGATGTCAAATATCACCTGGTATGTCCCTCCAGGTGCTTATCCCATTATGTGGCTGAGTCCTGCACACCTGAGGTTTCACCTGAGCCTCTGAACTCGCCGCATGAGGTTCCATGTGGTATGCGGTAAGTGGCTTCCTTCACATGTTCATATTTTTCCTCCTTTTTTTGTTTTTACTTTTGAGCTGGCAACTATATTTTAGTCATAGTTTCTGATGCTTTGCCTGTGCAACGTGGCGTTATGTGACATGTCATAATGTGAAATGACATTGTGCGAGATGGCACTACGTGAAATGGAATTCTGGGAATTGGCAAATGTGATTTGGCTTGGCGTTGTGTGACGTGGCATTTTTCACATGCCATCTGGTCTCTTGCATTGCATACTGTGATGTGAAACCACGTCTCACATCCCATCCTATCACTTCACGTCTCATGCCATGGCAGGGCACCCGTTCCGCCCTCGAGTTCGAAGGCAACCAGGTGAGACACACGCTCCCAACCTTTTCCGCACTTGCATTTTCAGGAAAAAAAAAACAAACAAACAAACAAACGTGTCAAAAGGAAGGTGGCAGTCAGTCAGCCCAGCGTCCATGCCATGCGAACCGCACCACACCGCACACCACACCATGCCACACCACACAACACACCACATGCTCGTCTGATCCTTGCTCTAACCAGTGCAGGTGCACGTGTCCCTCCCTACTGCCCAACCCCAGCCATCTGGTCTGGAGCTGGTGGACCCAGTCGTGGTGGGCAGGGCAAGGCAACTGCAAACTTGACTCAAACCCGCTCCTATGTGCCATTCACCTCACCTTGCGTTGCATTGTCTTGTCTTGCCATGCCTTGCCACGTTCCCACCAGCGCAGGTGCAAGTGTCGCTACTGCCCAACCCCAGCCATCTGGAGCTGGTAGACCCGGTCGTGGTGGGCAAGGCAGGCAGATTCACTCAACTCATGCTCCACCCTCACTCCCTGCCCCACGTTGCCTTGCCATGATTCCATGCCATGCTCTCCTATCTTCCGTACTCGCACCAGCACAGGTGCAAGTGTCCCTACTGCCCAACCCCAGCCATCTGGAGCTGGTGGATCCGGTGGTGGTGGGCATGCTCCACCCTCACTCCCCGCTCCACGTTGCCTTGCCATGATTCCATGCCATGCTCTCCTATCTTCCGTACTCGCACCAGCGCAGGTGCAAGTGTCCCTACTGCCCAACCCCAGCCATCTGGAGCTGGTGGACCCGGTCGTGGTGGGGAAGGCCAGAGCCAAGCAGCTCTTCACCAACGACTCCTCCAGGCGCTCCGTCATGGTGGGTGCTGCGCTGTCCTGTGCGGTGCTATGCGGTGCTGTGCTGGATGCCCAATTCGCAGTGTGCTGCCACGTGCGTTCTCGTATGGCTGTGTGTCACCACAAACTCGGTTTTCTTATGCAAGTGCTCTCTTTCATGCTGGAGGTTTTCTTGTGAAGTCCACCTTCTTTCTCCTCCAGGACTCGATGCTGCCTTGAGTGGCCATGGCTTGGTTTTTAAATCGAATTGATTTCGCCTCCTGCACCTCGTCGTATCCCTCTGCACCTACCTGCATCTCTCTTCCCTTCACCATGTGCCCCACTGACCTCCTTCCATTCCAGGGCCTCATTCTGCACGGAGACGCAGCCTTCAGTGGCCTCGGCCTCGCTCCTGAGGTGCTTCAGGTACGGCCAAAGCTGCAGGTGCAGTTGTTGTGGGTAACAGCGCGGTCTCAAGTTCCCCCACCATCGAAGTTCCCCCACCAGCCCGTTTTTTCAAAGCTGATGGGGGTTTTGGTGGGAATGCTCCCACTCTGACCACCGAACCTCATTTTGGCGGGTGACAGATGTCGCCAGCATCGCATGTACGGTATCCAATGAAATTGACGCGCCAGCTCGCAGACCAATTGTTCTATTAACCTCGTCTGGCAAAACCTAAACGGCTGAGCCTGACGGTTGCGTCTGACATGAAAAATTTGGCACAATAGTCAAATCAAGTCAACTTGGGTGATATTGGCAGATTCACGCAAGCAGGGCAGAAAATCGGTTGCGTGGGCAGGATGGAAATATATGTTGCCGCAACTGGCATGTCTAGCACTGTAGTCCCCAGACGCAGCAAACGTGGCACGATCTCCATCGTCGCACACTGACGGTCAGGCCAGGCCTTGCGACCGTGGCCGGTTGGACTCAAGGTGGGTAAAAGTCGAACTTCGTGAGGGGACATTCAAATGTGATTTAATGCCACGTCAACATTTCGAGTCGCGTGGGGGAACTTCAGCTGGTGGGGGAACTTCAGAATGCGCCCTAAGGCAGTGCTGCAGGTAGAATAGAATATCTCAGCATGATGACTCGTGGCAAGAAACACCCAATTCCTGCACTTCTCCTCTCTTTCACATCCAATACACCCCCAAATTGGCTACAAAGTACAACTGTCTCCCTCTCAACCGCCCTAAACCCCTTTCCACCCTGAATGGAGCAGCTGTCGGACCTACCAGAGTACACGACGGGCGGCACAATCCACGTGATCATCAACAATCAGATCGGATTCACAACCGATCCCAAGCTCGCCCGCTCCTCCCCCCACCCCTCTGACTTTGCCAAGGTGAGCTGGTAAGGGAGAAGGGTTAGAGATGACTAGTGCAAGAGAGCCTTTCTTGCACTGATTAGTCGACATGGAAACAAACAAGGCATGGAAAACGAGGCATGGAAACGAAGGCATGAAATGAAGACACGACAGAACAAAGGAAACGTACACAACGGGCGGCACAATCCACGTGATCATCAACAATCAGATCGGATTCACCACCGACCCCAAGCTCGCCCGCTCCTCCCCCCACCCCTCCGACTTCGCCAAGGTGAGCCGGCAGAGAAGGTTTAGATATGAGGAGTGCAAGAGAGCTTTCGTTGATTGGTTGAGCTGACATTGCCAAACAGGACATTGCAGAGCACGTGGAGCTGTACACAAGGGCGGCACGATCTACCTGATCAATAACAAATCGGTTAGACTCACCACCGACCCCAAGCTGGCTCGCTCCTCCCCTGAACCCCTCTCACTTCGCCAAGGTGAGCCGGTTGACAGGGAAGCAGGGAAGCAACCTGCTTCAAGCAGGGTTACAAACAATTCACACCTTACAACTCACAAGGTGAGTGGTGCAGAAGAGCTTGGAATACTTTTACTACGCATAGGAGCAAGGTAAAAGGAGAAGAACGGCCGTAAGTAACAAATTACGGCCGTGTGTTCATAGAGCTAACCAGGTCCCATCCCATACCCTTTGCTGCAGGCAGTGGGGGCGCCCATCTTCCATGTGAACATGAGTGCTTCAGGCTGATGATCCCGGTGCAGCAGTGGCAGGCTATTCATTGGTAGAACTAACCACGTCCCACCCATCCGCCACCCTTTGCTGCAGGCAGTGGGGGCGCCCATCTTCCATGTGAACGCGGATGATCCCGAGGCAGTGGCTCACATCTGCTCCCTCGCTGTCGACTGGCGCCAGGTGCGCGCACCGACACTGACGAGATGCCTTGCATGAGTGTGCTGCAGTGCAAAAAAAAAAAAAAAAAAAAACCCTTGTTTTTTTCAGTCTGTGGAAGGCTACAGGAGGATGACGTTATTACAGCTGTTATGTGTTACTCACTCAACCACGCCATGTGCTGTGCAGTATGCCATTCGAATTGTGGGTCTTAACCCGTGTGCCACATGGCATGCATGGGCTGTTGTTTCTGTGACCCACGTGCATGCATCGCATGCATGCCTCATGTGCTGTGCATGTGCGTGTGCATGTGCATGTGCATGTGCATGTGGCATGTGCATGTGCATGTGCATGTGGCATGTGGCATGTGCATGTGCATGTGCATGTGCATGTGCATGTGCTTTTGCATGGGGGAGCAGACATTCGGCAAGGATGTGGTGGTGGACCTCGTGTGCTACAGACGACATGGGCACAACGAGCAGGTGGGGACGGGAGTAATGCACATGTGAGCATGTGGCGCATGTGAGTAATGCACATGTGAGCATGTGGCGCACGTGTGTGACATCTGCCAAGGATGTGGTGGTGGACCTCGTGTGCTACAGGCGACATGGCCACAACGAGCAGGTGGGCATGCTGGAGTGCATGTGTGTGTCAGCATGTGAGTGTGCAGGGTTTAGGGCTGAAGGTTTAGGGTAGACCTTGTGTGCTACAGGCGACATGGGCACAACGAGCAGGTGAGCATGCCATATTGCACATGTGAGCATGTGCGCATATGAGCATATGCACGAGCAGAGGTGGTGCTACCCGGCGCATTACATATACGCACGCACACACACATGCACGCGTGCCCATATGTCGCGTGACCATGTGGCAGGGGTCACCATAGATCGAGGCACTCCTCCCTTGGCCACTGCCTCCCTCCCATCAGTCATTGTGCATGCATGCATGCACTAACCCATCCCTCCCCCACCCCTCCCTGCTCCTCCCCCTCCCCTCCCCCACACACAACCCCCCCACGGGTGGCGCAGCCACTGTTTACTCGTCTGGCATTGCCCCGACCTCCCATCACTCTCTCATGTGCGTCCACGCACTAACACACTCTTCCGTTCCCCCCTTATTCTTCCTCCCCTCCCTTTTTCCCCACCACAGGACGACCCACGAGTGACACAGCCTTTAATGTATTCTCTGGTGGACGCCCACCCGCCGTGCCTTCAGCTCTATGCCGCCCGGCTCATGGCGGAAGAGGTGGTCACAGCAGAGGTGAGGGCAGTTGTGCCATTCACATGAGCCACGAGTCATGCCTGCCTGCAACTGTGAGGGGGGTTGTGGCAGATGTGAGTGCTGGTACACGCCTCCGTGCCTTTGCTCTATGCCGCCCGGCTCATGGCGGAAGATGTGGTCACAGCAGAGGTGAGGGCAAGGAGTGTTGTGCCATTCACATGAGGCACGTGTCCTGCCTGCCTGCTACCAACCAACTGCACTGTATGCGAACGAGGTGGTTGTGGCAGATGTAAGTGCTGCTCTGCTGGTACACGACCACCCGCCATGCCTTCTGCTCTAGGCCACTCGGCTCATGGCAGAGGTCGTGGTCCCAGTAGCGGTGAGGGCGAGGGGGTTTGTACGATCTCAGCTACTCTCTGATCTTCTGGTGTACTTATTGCTGGATGGATGCATGAATGCAGTGAGGTGTATTTTGAGGCGCCACAAAATACACCTCACTGCACGAGAAGAGAAGCAATGAATGCACTTATTGCTGGATGGATGCATGAATGAAGTGAGTGTTGGTGTGGTTGGGGGTGACAGTGGAGCAAAGTGGTGGTGTGACGTGACGACGCGACGGGGGTGCCTCACTAGAGCTGCGTATACATATTGATCGATTGTTCTCTCACATACCATAACGTGTCCATACACATATGCATGTCAATGCATGTACACATCCTTCAACGTATGCACAGCCCACGCTCCACAACCATTCCAACATCCACACGCCCAACAGGAGATCGCCAGCTGGCAGACTGACGTGGAGGCGGAGTTTGAGCGTGCGTTTGAGAACACCAGCAAGCAACAGGTGTCGCCACAGGATTGGCTGGCTGCCAACTGGCAAGGTGAGGCACAATCGCCAGGCAACAGTTAAGGCACAACTGTCTGTACAGCTGGCAATCGCCTTGACAGCTGGCGCTGTTAGGATAAGATGGAATGGTTACGCAGTGGCTGGCTGGCAGCATGGTGAAAGTCTATTTCTGAAGCGCCTCAAAAATAGACTCCTTGCATGGTAAGGGAACATGGTATGTGTTGTGTTGTCTGTCTCCCATGTAGCATCTCATGATGGCTTGGCACTAAGTTGCTCATGACATGACATATCATGACACGTCGTGGCATGGCGTGGCATGGTGTGGCATGGCATGGCACGGCATGGCGTGGTATGGCATGGCATGGCATGGCATGACATGGCATGGCATGGCATGGCATGGCATGGCACGGCACGGCGTGGTATGGCATGGCATGGGACGGCATGGCATGGCATGGCATGGGACGGCGTGGCATGGCATGGCATGGCATGGCATGGGACGTCGTGGTATGGCATGGCATGGCATGGCGTGGCAGGCGAGGCTCTTGGGTCGCTGGTGAGTCAGCGCAAGGTGCAGCCCACCGGCCTTCCCTTGAAGACTCTGCAACGTGTGGTGAGAAGGGGGGAGATGGTGGGGGGGGGGAGGAAGATGGTGAGGTGGGAAGGATGGTGGAGGAAGAGGAGGAGTAGGGGTTTCAAGGGGGACCGGTGGCAGTGGAGAGGTGGAGACGTGGAGAGGCTGGGGGCTGGCTGGCGGAATAGGCATTCTCCACCTGTCATGTGCATGCTCCTTGCTGCCACCACTACCTCACGTATTCGCATGTGCCATGACCACACAGGTTCTCATGTCCCATGGCCACACGTCGTCTCTTGCTGTACCAACCTCACATGTTCCTATCCTATCCCATCCCATCCCACGTGTCACAGGGAGATGCGCTCTGCACTGTACCACCGGACTTCACCTTGCACCCTCAGGTACTGTACTGTACCGGACGTCACCTTGCAACCTTCTTCTGAGATCGGCCCAAACAGTAATGCTTCACTCTCTCTCTGTTCGTATGCGTGCATGCGTGCATGTGAATCGCGAGTCATGATCGTTTGATACTCTAGCATGCGTGCATGCGTGCATGCATGCCACACTGAGCAACCCTCCAGCTTTTCAGCAGCATCATACATTTCTCACACAGTGGGGGAATCAATCACACAGCAACAGCCCTTCAACATTCACCCATACTTAAATCGTCATGCCTCCTCTTCTCCCCACACCCACCGTCGCTGCCTTCCTTTTTGTCCCCTACCCTCCATCATTTCCTCACTCTCCTCGTCCCCCCGGGTGCACCCACCAGGTGGCATTGCTGCTGGAGAACCGCCGCAAGATGATGGCAACTGGGGAAGGCATTGACTGGGCCATGGCAGAGGCCCTTGCCTTCGGGTATGCTTGTGTGTCACTGTTGAGAAGATTCAAAGCTGGGAAAGGTGTTGACTGGGGAAGGCGTTGACTGGGGAAGGCGTTGACTGGGGAAGGCGTTGACTGGGGAAGGGATTGACTGGGGAAGGCGTTGACTGGGAAAGGCATTGACTGGGCCATGGCAGAGGTTCTTGCATTGGGGTGGGTTTCTGTACCGAACGGGACGGTAAGGGACGAGTTTTGAGACATTCAAAATATCGTCTCAAGACACGGTAGGGGACGGGTCATAAGGCACATTCCAACTCAAGAGTGAGTTGAGTGTGACGCACCTGCACTTGAGTTGAGTGGGATGGGAGCAAAGGTGCACGGTGGCATGTCAGGCGTGTTTCAAGCTTTCAGGAGCTCTCAAGGCACCAATGGTGCCATGCCAACCAATGGCCCTGGACAGAAGCACTTGCCATCTTCCTTCCACCATGGCAGCAGCAGCAGCCATATGCAGCGTAAAGGAGCACACCACACTCGAGTGGAACTTCTCGAGTGGAACTTCTCGAGAGGAACTTCTCTTAACATGGGCGCCCTTGCCTCCGTTCAGCCCTGCACTGCACCAAATGCTTCCTGTCATGTCATGTCACCTCCACCGTCCCACCTGTTCTCTTCCCCGCACTCTTTTTCCTTCCACGGTCCACCTCTCTGCTTAAATCCTTCAACATCTGCCTGATCCATCATCCAATCCCCTTGCAGCAGCCCAGCACACGTTTCCTACTCCAATCCCATTTCCCCCACCCACCCACCCACCCATCCACTCCGCCCCCCCTCCAGCTCTCCTCTTCTGCCCTTCGACGCCTCTCTGAACCAGACGGCAGACAGCAACCCCACCCATGCTTCCTCTTCTCATACGATCGCCACCCGGCACGTCCCCCCCTTCCCTTCCCCCTCCCCCCCTCCCCCCTTCCAGCTCTCTTCTTCTGCCGTTCGACCCCGCTCTGAGCCAGACGGCAGACAGCAACCCCACCCATGCAGTGCGGCTGAGCGGGCAGGACTGTGAGCGCGGCACCTTCAACCACCGCCATGCTGTCATGCACGACCAGACCACGGGGCAACGGTGAGTGGGATGTGATGAGATGTGGTGCATGCTCTGATATTTCTTTACACACTCATCTCATGAGGCACCTTCGATTCAACCACCGCCATGCTGTCATGCATGACCAGACCACGGGGCAACGGTGAGTGGGATGTGATGAGATGTGGCGCATGCTCTGATATTTCTTTACACACTCATCTCATGAGGCACCTTCGATTCAACCACCTCCACGCTGTCATGCATGACCAGGTCACGGGGCAGCGGTGAGTTTGATGTGATGTGGTGCGTGCTTCTTTTATGCGCACACTTGCTGATGGGGCGCCTTCAACCACCGCCATGCCGTCATGCACGACCAGATCACAGGGTAGCGGTGAGTCGGGGAAAGCGGCGAGTTTGATGCGTTTCACGCTCGTATATGCGCGCACAGACTCATTCATGGGGAATCTTCGAATCAACCACCGCCATGCCGCCATGCACGACCAGGGAATGAAGCTATATCTGGCCTTGAGCTTGACTTCACACCAGTAACCCCTCACATGCCGCCCCAACCAACGTGTGTGCTGTGCTCCACCCCAGGTACACCCCTCTACAGCATGTAGCAGCGGGGCAGGAGCGGTTCATGGTGTGCAACTCAAGCCTATCAGAGGCTGTTACAGTACAGCAGTCCTTGGGTTCGTCTTCACACCAGTGCCTCTTCTCCCCTCATGCCACCCCAACACACGTGTGTGCTGTGCTCCACCCCAGGTACACCCCGCTACAGCACGTGGCTGCGGGGCAGGAGCGGTTCATGGTGTGCAACTCAAGCCTCTCCGAGGCAGCAGTGCTGGGCTTTGAGTACGGTTTCAGCCTGGAGAACGAAAACGCCCTTGTCTGCTGGGAAGCGCAGGTGAGACATTTTTGAGGCGTTTGAAAGAATGCTTTAAACAGAGAATGCTCTGGTCTGCTGGAAGGCTCAGGTGGGTTATAACACTCCTCCACTTTCCCTTCGCTCCTTCCTGTATCTTGTCCCTCTCCTTTCCCTCTCCTTTCCCTCTCCTTTCCCTCTCCTTTCCCTCTCCTTTCCCTCTCCTTTCCCTCTCCTTTCCCTCTCCTTTCCCTCTCCTTTCCCTCTCCTTTCCCTCTCCTTTCCCTCTCCTTTCCCTCTCCTTTCCCTCTCCTTTCCCTCTCCTTTCCCTCTCCTTTCCCTCTCCTTTCCCTCTCCTTTCCCTCTCCTTTCCCTCTCCTTTCCCTCTCCTTTCCCTCTCCTTTCCCTCTCCTTCCTCTCCTTTCCCTCTCCTTTCCCTCTCCTTTCCCTCTCCTTTCCCTCTCCTTTCCCTCTCCTTTCCCTCTCCTTTCCCTCTCCTTTCCCTCTCCTTTCCCTCTCCTTTCCCTCTCCTTTCCCTCTCCTTTCCCTCTCCTTTCCCTCTCCTTTCCCTCTCCTTTCCCTCTCCTTTCCCTCTCCTTTCCCTCTCCTTTCCCTCTCCTTTCCCTCTCCTTTCCCTCTCCTTTCCCTCTCCTTTCCCTCTCCTTTCCCTCTCCTTTCCCTCTCCTTTCCCTCTCCTTTCCCTCTCCTTTCCCTCTCCTTTCCCTCTCCTTTCCCTCTCCTTTCCCTCTCCTTTCCCTCTCCTTTCCCTCTCCTTTCCCTCTCCTTTCCCTCTCCTTTCCCTCTCCTTTCCCTCTCCTTTCCCTCTCCTTTCCCTCTCCTTTCCCTCTCCTTTCCCTCTCCTTTCCCTCTCCTTTCCCTCTCCTTTCCCTCTCCTTTCCCTCTCCTTTCCCTCTCCTTTCCCTCTCCTTTCCCTCTCCTTTCCCTCTCCTTCCCTCTCCTTTCCCTCTCCTTTCCCTCTCCTTTCCCTCTCCTTTCCCTCTCCTTTCCCTCTCCTTTCCCTCTCCTTTCCCTCTCCTTTCCCTCTCCTTTCCCTCTCCTTTCCCTCTCCTTTCCCTCTCCTTTCCCTCTCCTTTCCCTCTCCTTTCCCTCTCCTTTCCCTCTCCTTTCCCTCTCCTTTCCCTCTCCTTTCCCTCTCCTTTCCCTCTCCTTTCCCTCTCCTTTCCCTCTCCTTTCCCTCTCCTTTCCCTCTCCTTTCCTCTCCTTTCCCTCTCCTTTCCCTCTCCTTTCCCTCTCCTTTCCCTCTCCTTTCCCTCTCCTTTCCCTCTCCTTTCCCTCTCCTTTCCCTCTCCTTTCCCTCTCCTTTCCCTCTCCTTTCCCTCTCCTTTCCCTCTCCTTTCCCTCTCCTTTCCCTCTCCTTTCCCTCTCCTTTCCCTCTCCTTTCCCTCTCCTTTCCCTCTCCTTTCCCTCTCCTTTCCCTCTCCTTTCCCTCTCCTTTCCCTCTCCTTTCCCTCTCCTTTCCCTCTCCTTTCCCTCTCCTTTCCCTCTCCTTTCCCTCTCCTTTCCCTCTCCTTTCCCTCTCCTTTCCCTCTCCTTTCCCTCTCCTTTCCCTCTCCTTCCCTCTCCTTTCCCTCTCCTTTCCCTCTCCTTTCCCTCTCCTTTCCCTCTCCTTTCCCTCTCCTTTCCCTCTCCTTTCCCTCTCCTTTCCCTCTCCTTTCCCTCTCCTTTCCCTCTCCTTTCCCTCTCCTTTCCCTCTCCTTTCCCTCTCCTTTCCTCTCCTTTCCCTCTCCTTTCCCTCTCCTTTCCCTCTCCTTTCCCTCTCCTTTCCCTCTCCTTTCCCTCTCCTTTCCCTCTCCTTTCCCTCTCCTTTCCCTCTCCTTTCCCTCTCCTTTCCCTCTCCTTTCCCTCTCCTTTCCCTCTCCTTTCCCTCTCCTTTCCCTCTCCTTTCCCTCTCCTTTCCCTCTCCTTTCCCTCTCCTTTCCCTCTCCTTTCCCTCTCCTTTCCCTCTCCTTTCCCTCTCCTTTCCCTCTCCTTTCCCTCTCCTTTCCCTCTCCTTTCCCTCTCCTTTCCCTCTCCTTTCCCTCTCCTTTCCCTCTCCTTTCCCTCTCCTTTCCCTCTCCTTTCCCTCTCCTTTCCCTCTCCTTTCCCTCTCCTTTCCCTCTCCTTTCCCTCTCCTTTCCCTCTCCTTTCCCTCTCCTTTCCCTCTCCTTTCCCTCTCCTTTCCCTCTCCTTTCCCTCTCCTTTCCCTCTCCTTTCCCTCTCCTTTCCCTCTCCTTTCCCTCTCCTTTCCCTCTCCTTTCCCTCTCCTTTCCCTCTCCTTTCCCTCTCCTTTCCCTCTCCTTTCCCTCTCCTTTCCCTCTCCTTTCCCTCTCCTTTCCCTCTCCTTTCCCTCTCCTTTCCCTCTCCTTTCCCTCTCCTTTCCCTCTCCTTTCCCTCTCCTTTCCCTCTCCTTTCCCTCTCCTTTCCCTCTCCTTTCCCTCTCCTTTCCTCTCCTTTCCCTCTCCTTTCCCTCTCCTTTCCCTCTCCTTTCCCTCTCCTTTCCCTCTCCTTTCCCTCTCCTTTCCCTCTCCTTTCCCTCTCCTTTCCCTCTCCTTTCCCTCTCCTTTCCCTCTCCTTTCCCTCTCCTTTCCCTCTCCTTTCCCTCTCCTTTCCCTCTCCTTTCCCTCTCCTTTCCCTCTCCTTTCCCTCTCCTTTCCCTCTCCTTTCCCTCTCCTTTCCCTCTCCTTTCCCTCTCCTTTCCCTCTCCTTTCCCTCTCCTTTCCCTCTCCTTTCCCTCTCCTTTCCCTCTCCTTTCCCTCTCCTTTCCCTCTCCTTTCCCTCTCCTTTCCCTCTCCTTTCCCTCTCCTTTCCCTCTCCTTTCCCTCTCCTTTCCCTCTCCTTTCCCTCTCCTTTCCCTCTCCTTTCCCTCTCCTTTCCCTCTCCTTTCCCTCTCCTTTCCCTCTCCTTTCCCTCTCCTTTCCCTCTCCTTTCCCTCTCCTTTCCCTCTCCTTTCCCTCTCCTTTCCCTCTCCTTTCCCTCTCCTTTCCCTCTCCTTTCCCTCTCCTTTCCCTCTCCTTTCCCTCTCCTTTCCCTCTCCTTTCCCTCTCCTTTCCCTCTCCTTTCCCTCTCCTTTCCCTCTCCTTTCCCTCTCCTTTCCCTCTCCTTTCCCTCTCCTTTCCCTCTCCTTTCCCTCTCCTTTCCCTCTCCTTTCCCTCTCCTTTCCCTCTCCTTTCCCTCTCCTTTCCCTCTCCTTTCCCTCATCCTTTCCCTCTCCTTTCCCTCTCCTTTCCCTCTCCTTTCCCTCTCCTTTCCCTCTCCTTTCCCTCTCCTTTCCCTCTCCTTTCCCTCTCCTTTCCCTCTCCTTTCCCTCTCCTTTCCCTCTCCTTTCCCTCTCCTTTCCCTCTCCTTTCCCTCTCCTTTCCCTCTCCTTTCCCTCTCCTTTCCCTCTCCTTTCCCTCTCTTCCCTCCCTTTCCCTCTCCTTTCCTCTCCTTTCCCTCGTCCTTTCCCTCTCCTTTCCCTCTCCTTTCCCTCTCCTTTCCCTCTCCTTTCCCTCTCCTTTCCCTCTCCTTTCCCTCTCCTTTCCCTCTCCTTTCCCTCTCCTTCCCTCTCCTTTCCCTCTCCTTTCCCTCTCCTTTCCCTCTCCTTTCCCTCTCCTTTCCCTCTCCTTTCCCTCTCCTTTCCCTCTCCTTTCCCTCTCCTTTCCCTCTCCTTTCCCTCTCCTTTCCCTCTCCTTTCCCTCTCCTTTCCCTCTCCTTTCCCTCTCCTTTCCCTCTCCTTTCCCTCTCCTTTCCCTCTCCTTTCCTCTCCTTTCCCTCTCCTTTCCCTCTCCTTTCCCTCTCCTTTCCCTCCTTCCTCTCTTTCCTCTCCTTTCCCTCTCCTTTCCCTCTCCTTTCCCTCTCCTTTCCCTCTCCTTTCCCTCTCCTTTCCCTCTCCTTTCCCTCTCCTTTCCCTCTCCTTTCCCTCTCCTTTCCCTCTCCTTTCCCTCTCCTTTCCCTCTCCTTTCCTCTCCTTCCTCTCCTTCCCTCTCCTTTCCCTCTCCTTTCCCTCTCCTTTCCCTCTCCTTTCCCTCTCCTTTCCCTCTCCTTTCCCTCTCCTTTCCCTCTCCTTTCCCTCTCCTTTCCCTCTCCTTTCCCTCTCCTTTCCCTCTCCTTTCCCTCTCCTTTCCCTCTCCTTTCCCTCTCCTTTCCCTCTCCTTTCCCTCTCCTTTCCCTCTCCTTTCCCTCTCCTTTCCCTCTCCTTTCCCTCTCCTTTCCCTCTCCTTTCCCTCTCCTTTCCCTCTCCTTTCCCTCTCCTTTCCCTCTCCTTTCCCTCTCCTTTCCCTCTCCTTTCCCTCTCCTTTCCCTCTCCTTTCCCTCTCCTTTCCCTCTCCTTTCCCTCTCCTTTCCCTCTCCTTTCCCTCTCCTTTCCCTCTCCTTTCCCTCTCCTTTCCCTCTCCTTTCCCTCTCCTTTCCCTCTCCTTTCCCTCTCCTTTCCCTCTCCTTTCCCTCTCCTTTCCCTCTCCTTTCCCTCTCCTTTCCCTCTCCTTTCCCTCTCCTTTCCCTCTCCTTTCCCTCTCCTTTCCCTCTCCTTTCCTCTCCTTTCCCTCTCCTTTCCCTCTCCTTTCCCTCTCCTTTCCCTCTCCTTTCCCTCTCCTTTCCCTCTCCTTTCCCTCTCCTTTCCCTCTCCTTTCCCTCTCCTTTCCCTCTCCTTTCCCTCTCCTTTCCCTCTCCTTTCCCTCTCCTTTCCCTCTCCTTTCCCTCTCCTTTCCCTCTCCTTTCCCTCTCCTTTCCCTCTCCTTTCCCTCTCCTTTCCCTCTCCTTTCCCTCTCCTTTCCCTCTCCTTTCCCTCTCCTTTCCCTCTCCTTTCCTCTCCTTTCCCTCTCCTTTCCCTCTCCTTTCCTCTCCTTTCCTCTCCTTTCCCTCTCCTTTCCCTCTCCTTTCCTCTCCTTTCCCTCTCCTTTCCCTCTCCTTTCCCTCTCCTTTCCCTCTCCTTTCCCTCTCCTTTCCCTCTCCTTTCCCTCTCCTTTCCCTCTCCTTTCCCTCTCCTTTCCCTCTCCTTTCCCTCTCCTTTCCCTCTCCTTTCCCTCTCCTTTCCCTCTCCTTTCCCTCTCCTTTCCCTCTCCTTTCCCTCTCCTTTCCCTCTCCTTTCCTCTCCTTTCCCTCTCCTTTCCCTCTCCTTTCCCTCTCCTTTCCCTCTCCTTTCCCTCTCCTTTCCCTCTCCTTTCCCTCTCCTTTCCCTCTCCTTTCCCTCTCCTTTCCCTCTCCTTTCCCTCTCCTTTCCCTCTCCTTTCCCTCTCCTTTCCCTCTCCTTTCCCTCTCCTTTCCCTCTCCTTTCCCTCTCCTTTCCCTCTCCTTTCCCTCTCCTTTCCCTCTCCTTTCCCTCTCCTTTCCTCTCCTTTCCCTCTCCTTTCCCTCTCCTTTCCCTCTCCTTTCCCTCTCCTTTCCCTCTCCTTTCCCTCTTCCCCTTTCCCTCTCCTTTCCCTCTCCTTTCCCTCTCCTTTCCCTCTCCTTTCCCTCTCCTTTCCCTCTCCTTTCCCTCTCCTTTCCCTCTCCTTTCCCTCATCCTTTCCCTCTCCTTTCCCTCTCCTTTCCCTCTCCTTTCCCTCTCCTTTCCCTCTCCTTTCCCTCTCCTTTCCTCTCCTTTCCCTCTCCTTCCCTCTCCTTTCCCTCTCCTTTCCCTCTCCTTTCCCTCTCCTTTCCCTCTCCTTTCCCTCTCCTTTCCCTCTCCTTTCCCTCTCCTTTCCCTCTCCTTTCCCTCTCCTTTCCTCTCCTTTCCCTCTCCTTTCCTCTCCTTCCCTCTCCTTTCCCTCTCCTTTCCCTCTCCTTTCCTCTCCTTTCCCTCTCCTTTCCCTCTCCTTTCCCTCTCCTTTCCCTCTCCTTTCCCTCTCCTTTCCTCTCCTTTCCTCTCCTTTCCCTCTCCTTTCCCTCTCCTTTCCCTCTCCTTTCCCTCTCCTTTCCCTCTCCTTTCCTCTCCTTTCCTCTCTTTCCCTCTCCTTTCCCTCTCCTTTCCCTCTCCTTTCCTCTCCTTTCCCTCTCCTTTCCCTCTCCTTTCCCTCTCCTTTCCCTCTCCTTTCCCTCTCCTTTCCCTCTCCTTTCCCTCTCCTTTCCTCTCCTTTCCCTCTCCTTTCCCTCTCCTTTCCCTCTCTTCCTCTCCTTTCCTCTCCTTCCTCTCCTTTCCCTCTCCTTTCCCTCTCCTTTCCCTCTCCTTTCCCTCTCCTTTCCCTCTCCTTTCCCTCCTTCCTCTCCTTTCCCTCTCCTTTCCCTCTCCTTTCCCTCTCCTTTCCCTCTCCTTTCCCTCTCCTTCCCTCTCCTTTCCCTCTCCTTTCCCTCTCCTTTCCCTCTCCTTTCCCTCTCCTTTCCCTCTCCTTTCCCTCTCCTTTCCCTCTCCTTTCCCTCTCCTTTCCCTCTCCTTTCCTCTCCTTTCCCTCTCCTTTCCCTCTCCTTTCCCTCTCCTTTCCCTCTCCTTTCCCTCTCCTTTCCCTCTCCTTTCCCTCTCCTTTCCCTCTCCTTTCCCTCTCCTTTCCCTCTCCTTTCCCTCTCCTTTCCCTCTCCTTTCCCTCTCCTTTCCCTCTCCTTTCCCTCTCTTTCCCTCTCCTTTCCTCTCCTTTCCCTCTCCTTTCCCTCTCCTTTCCTCTCCTTTCCCTCTCCTTTCCCTCTCCTTTCCCTCTCCTTTCCCTCTCCTTTCCCTCTCCTTTCCCTCTCCTTTCCCTCTCCTTTCCCTCTCCTTTCCCTCTCCTTTCCCTCTCCTTTCCCTCTCCTTTCCCTCTCCTTTCCCTCTCCTTTCCCTCTCCTTTCCCTCTCCTTTCCCTCTCCTTTCCCTCTCCTTTCCCTCTCCTTTCCCTCTCCTTTCCCTCTCCTTTCCCTCTCCTTTCCTCTCCTTTCCCTCTCCTTTCCCTCTCCTTTCCCTCTCCTTTCCCTCTCCTTTCCCTCTCCTTTCCCTCTCCTTTCCCTCTCCTTTCCCTCTCCTTTCCCTCTCCTTTCCCTCTCCTTTCCCTCTCCTTTCCCTCTCCTTTCCCTCTCCTTTCCCTCTCCTTTCCCTCTCCTTTCCCTCTCCTTTCCCTCTCCTTTCCCTCCTTCCTCCTTTCCCTCTCCTTTCCCTCTCCTTTCCCTCTCCTTTCCCTCTCCTTTCCCTCTCCTTTCCCTCTCCTTTCCCTCTCCTTTCCCTCTCCTTTCCCTCTCCTTTCCCTCTCCTTTCCCTCTCCTTTCCCTCTCCTTTCCCTCTCCTTTCCCTCTCCTTTCCCTCTCCTTTCCCTCTCCTTTCCCTCTCCTTTCCCTCTCCTTTCCCTCTCCTTTCCCTCTCCTTTCCCTCTCCTTTCCCTCTCCTTTCTCCTTTCCCTCTCCTTTCCCTCTCCTTTCCCTCTCCTTTCCCTCTCCTTTCCCTCTCCTTTCCCTCTCCTTTCCCTCTCCTTTCCTCTCCTTTCCCTCTCCTTTCCTCTCCTTTCCCTCTCCTTTCCCTCTCCTTTCCCTCTCCTTTCCCTCTCCTTTCCCTCTCCTTTCCCTCTCCTTTCCCTCTCCTTTCCCTCTCCTTTCCCTCTCCTTTCCCTCTCCTTTCCCTCTCCTTTCCTTCTATGCTCCCTCTCCTCGAATTTTCCACCTCTGTTCTCCATTATTCTCCCTCTCCTTCACCTCTCTTCCTTCTCGTCTCCCTCCCCTCACTTCCACCACCCACCCCCTCCCCTCACTGCCCTCCCTCCCCCTCGGTCAGTTTGGGGACTTTGCGAACAACGCGCAGGCGATAATAGACAACTTCATAGTGAGCGGCGAGGACAAGTGGATGACCCCCACGGGTCTCGTGCTGCTGCTGCCTCATGGATTTGACGGCCAGGGACCCGAGCACTCCTCCGCCCGCCTCGAGAGGTACCTGCAGGTGGGTGGGTGCGTCTTGGGGGGTCACCTGCATGTGGGTGCGTGGTGGGGGGTTACCTGCACGTGGGTTGCTATAGGGGGGGTACCTGCAGGTGGGCTTAACAGGTATTCGCAGGTGGTTTGCTAAGGGGGGCTGGAGAGGTACCTGCAGGTGGGTCTTTTTTCAAGTGCCTAAAAAATCTACTAGTCTCTTGCTGCTGCTGCCACACGGCACGGCTTCGATTGCCAGGGCCCCGAACTCTCCTCCGCCCGCCTCAAGAGGTACCTGCAGGTGGGTCCTTCTGATTTCGTTTGAACTGGCCATGGCACGTTACTGATACTTTGTCTGTCTGCCCGCCTTGCCTTGAGAATCGGCTCTTCACCTTCCATGCATCCCTTTACCTGCTCTGCTACCAACCCCTCTTTTTCCTGCCTCCCCGCCACTCACCTCAACGATTTCCTTCCTTCGTTTCCCTCCCCTCCCCCATTCCCTCCCCTCCCCACTTCCTTCCCCTCCTCCGTTCCCTCCCCTCCCCGATTCCCTCCCATTTCCCTCATTTCCTCCGCTCCCCTGTTCCCTCGCCCCCTCCCTGCTCCCAATCAGTTGGTGAACGACGATGCCGACCACCTTCCCGGCTACAGTCCGCACTTGGCCGCCCAGATTGAGGCGGGGTTCACTATAGCCGACCGGGGTGAGTGGGCGGCAGTGGGCCGAGCGGAGGCAGTGTTTAGATGGAGAGCTGAAGGGCTTGGATGAAAACGAATGGAAAGTACTGAATAAGCTTGAGGAGCATGCATAGCAGGATGGGGCAAGGGCAGAGCAGGAGAAGCTTGAGAGCGACAGGAAGCCAACAAAAAATAGGGGGGCCAAATGGGAGTTTGGTCAGGAGGGTAGTTGAGGTGAAGAGGGTATTTGAGGTGAATAGGGTAGTTGAGGTGAATAGGGTGGTTAAGTTGAGGTGCAGAGGGTATTTGAGGTGAAGTGTGCACTAGAAGGACTGTTTATTATGTTCTCTTTTTTCAAACCTGTCAACCCTAATATATTGGCAGATAACAAGGGCCACGTGTCACTCTCTGATTTGCTGGAGTTCATGCAGTCGCAGTACGGACTCGGCCACGACTACGTGACGGCGCTCGCCCACCAGATGCACATCGACGAATCAAATCAGATCTCCAAGTGAGCCAACAAAAGCCGGTGAAGGAACCGGTGAATGGATAGGTTGAGTGAGGAGCCAAGACTCACTGAGACATGTCTGAAACTCGCGTGGATGGGAGAAGGTCTCAAGGAGAAGAGAAGGCTTAGGAGAAGGAGATTTGAAAGTTGGGGGGAACAATGAGCAAGGTTGGAGGGTGGCTTGGCTGGGCCTTGCCAATCTTTGAGGTGAGGTTAACCTCTGAATGGGTTGGTATGGCATGTGCGTGCGATCATTTGTGTGTGTGGTATTGAAGTGGAGTGGGAGGTCGTTCATGGTGCGATGTGGTGGATGCAGCTAAATTCTTACGTTCTTGGGATCCCATCACATGGCACATGCCGTGTGTGTGCCATGTGACATCATGGCGTTCATGCTGCGGTGCGCTGCGGTGCGGTGCGATGCGGTGGATGCAACTTGATTTCCTTCATGAAATCCCATCCATCATGCATGTGCCGTGTGCCATGCACTCCCCGTGCGATGTGTTCCATGTCCCGCCAGGGCGGACTGGGAGTCATTCATGGTGCGGTGGATGAGGCGCAACGCACAGAGGGACAACAACGTGTGTGTCGTCAACCTCACCACCCCGGCCAACTACTTCCACGCCCTCCGCCGCCAGGTGCTTTCTTCTCCCCACCACCAGGTGCCCTCCGCCGCCAGGTGCGCTTTGCCGCCAGGTGCTCTTTGCTGTCAGGTGCTCTTTGCTGTCAGGTGCTCTTTGCTGTCAGGTGCTCTTTGCTGTCAGGTGCTCTTTGCTGTCAGGTGCTCTTTGCTGTCAGGTGCTCTTTGCTGTCAGGTGCTCTTTGCTGTCAGGTGCGCTTTGCTGTCAGGTGCGCTTTGCTGTCAGGTGCGCTTTGCTGTCAGGTGCGCTTTGCTGTCAGGTGCGCTTTGCTGTCAGGTGCCCTCTGCTGTCAGGTGCCCTCCACTGCCGAGTGTGTGCAGGTACGAGTTTTGACATGTCCCATGTATAGCTTGCTGCCATGTCGCATGTGTTGCCATAATGCCATCATATGCATATTACTACCACCTTCATCTCTCCCCATCCTCTCACCTCTCCCCTCCCCATTCACCCATCTATACCCATGTGCACCCATCTGCCAATCGCCTCCGTGGTGCAGGTCAATCGGCACTTCTCTAAGCCCCTCGTTGTCATGTCCCCCAAGGTAACGCTCTCTGTTGCTCATGCCATAAACACTGCAGCATAATAATGCACGTGTCCGATCCGATATTGAGTCCCCCCCCCCTTATGGAAGTTTCAGTCTTGACGATGTCAATAATAGTGTAGTCAGGGAAAGTGGATCTACGTAAGAGGGTGAAACTGCCACACGCCGGGGTACACCAAAGCGGGGGTGTTGTGCTGTCACGATGTGTCTTTTCTCCCCACGACAGTGCGTCTTTCATAATAGGCCAAACCCCCCTCCCCCCTCTACCTTTCCTCCTCTCCCCGCACCCTCCCGCCCCCTCCTTCCTCCCATTCCACCCCCATTTCGTTTCCCCTCCTCCGGCCAAAAAAGTACCCGCTGCTGCACACAAGCCCGGCACATCGCCTCTCACTGTAAAAATTGTTCAAAAGTGATACAAGCATCTCCATCTGCTTACCCGCGTTCGATTCGAACCCCCACGTTTGCCCAAGCAGTACCTGCTGCATCACAAGCCATGCGCGTCACCGCTCAGCCATTTCACATCCGGCACATTCTTCCAGTGAGTGAGCCCTGCCTCCCCTCACCTTCCAGTGAGCCCTGCTTCCCCTGTCGTCCTTCTTGCAACATCCCCCAAAATCCCCTTCCACAGGCTATGTGCTTCCCTTACACGCCCTCGCTGGAACGCTTTTATACGTCGACTTCAAGAATGCTTCTAACATTGTATAGAAGAACTTTTGCACCCCTCTGTGCAATGTGCCCCTGCCAGGGCGAGGCCTGTGCTACTGGATGGCGACGTAGGCGACAACACGAGGCATGCAGAATGCATGTGCTGTGTGCTTCCCTTCCACTCCCCTCTGTGCAGTGCGTGTGCAATGTGCTTCCTTTTCCCTCCCCTCACTGCAATGCATGTGCTATGTGCCTCATTTTCCCTCCCCTCTGTGCAATGTGTGCACGCCAGGCCAGTGATAGCGGATGGAGACATAGGAGACAACATGCGGCATCTGCATGCTGACAAGCTGCTGCCGCCCGGCCAGATGAAACGCCTCGTGCTGTGCTCAGGAAAGGTGAACCATGAGCATGCTCTGTGGTGTGTTGCATGTAGAGATTGTGGTGACATGACATGCTATGTGGGATGGCATGTGATGGCATGGCACGGCACTTGCTAGCTACACCACATGCTATGCTGCCACATGCTATGCTGCCACATGCTATGCTGCCACATGCTATGCTGCCACATGCTATGCTGCCACATGCTATGCTGCCACATGCTATGCTGCCACATGCTATGCTGCCACATGCTATGCTGCCACATGCTATGCTGCCACATGCTATGCTGCCACATGCTATGCTGCCACATGCTATGCTGCCACATGCTATGCTGCCACATGCTATGCTGCCACATGCTATGCTGCCACATGCTGTGCTGCCACATGCTATGCTGCCACATGCTGTGCTGCCACATGCTGTGCTGCCACATGCTGTGCTGCCACATGCTGTGCTGCCACATGCTGTGCTGCCACATGCTGTGCTGCCACATGCTGTGCTGCCACATGCTATGCTGCCACATGCTATGCTGCCACATGCTATGCTGCCACATGCTATGCTGCCACATGCTATGCTGCCACATGCTGTGCTGCCACATGCTGTGCTGCCACATGCTGTGCTGCCACATGCTGTGCTGCCACATGCTATGCTGCCACATGCTGTGCTGCCACATGCTATGCTGCTACATGCTATGCTGCCACATGCTATGCTGCCACATGCTGTGCTGCCACATGCTGTGCTGCCACATGCTATGCTGCCACATGCTATGCTGCCACATGCTGTGCTGCCACATGCTGTGCTGCCACATGCTATGCTGCCACATGCTGTGCTGCCACATGCTATGCTGCCACATGCTGTGCTGCCACATGCTGTGCTGCCACATGCTATGCTGCCACATGCTGTGCTGCCACATGCTGTGCTGCCACATGCTATGCTGCCACATGCTATGCTGCCACATGCTATGCTGCCACATGCTATGCTGCCACATGCTATGCTGCCACATGCTATGCTGCCACATGCTGTGCTGCCACATGCTATGCTGCCACATGCTATGCTGCCACATGCTATGCTGCCACATGCTGTGCTGCCACATGCTATGCTGCCACATGCTGTGCTGCCACATGCTATGCTGCCACATGCTATGCTGCCACATGCTATGCTGCCACATGCTATGCTGCCACATGCTATGCTGCCACATGCTATGCTGCCACATGCTGTGCTGCCACATGCTATGCTGCCACATGCTGTGCTGCCACATGCTGTGCTGCCACATGCTATGCTGCCACATGCTGTGCTGCCACATGCTATGCTGCCACATGCTGTGCTGCCACATGCTATGCTGCCACATGCTATGCTGCCACATGCTATGCTGCCACATGCTATGCTGCCACATGCTATGCTGCCACATGCTATGCTGCCACATGCTATGCTGCCACATGCTGTGCTGCCACATGCTATGCTGCCACATGCTATGCTGCCACATGCTATGCTGCCACATGCTGTGCTGCCACATGCTGTGCTGCCACATGCTATGCTGCCACATGCTATGCTGCCACATGCTGTGCTGCCACATGCTATGCTGCCACATGCTGTGCTGCCACATGCTATGCTGCCACATGCTATGCTGCCACATGCTATGCTGCCACATGCTATGCTGCCACATGCTATGCTGCCACATGCTGTGCTGCCACATGCTATGCTGCCACATGCTATGCTGCCACATGCTATGCTGCCACATGCTATGCTGCCACATGCTATGCTGCCACATGCTATGCTGCCACATGCTGTGCTGCCACATGCTATGCTGCCACATGCTGTGCTGCCACATGCTGTGCTGCCACATGCTATGCTGCCACATGCTGTGCTGCCACATGCTATGCTGCCACATGCTATGCTGCCACATGCTGTGCTGCCACATGCTATGCTGCCACATGCTGTGCTGCCACATGCTATGCTGCCACATGCTGTGCTGCCACATGCTATGCTGCCACATGCTATGCTGCCACATGCTGTGCTGCCACATGCTATGCTGCCACATGCTGTGCTGCCACATGCTATGCTGCCACATGCTATGCTGCCACATGCTATGCTGCCACATGCTATGCTGCCACATGCTATGCTGCCACATGCTATGCTGCCACATGCTGTGCTGCCACATGCTATGCTGCCACATGCTGTGCTGCCACATGCTGTGCTGCCACATGCTATGCTACCACATGCTGTGCTGCCACATGCTATGCTGCCACATGCTATGCTGCCACATGCTATGCTGCCACATGCTATGCTGCCACATGCTGTGCTGCCACATGCTATGCTGCCACATGCTATGCTGCCACATGCTATGCTGCCACATGCTGTGCTGCCACATGCTATGCTGCCACATGCTGTGCTGCCACATGCTGTGCTGCCACATGCTATGCTGCCACATGCTATGCTGCCACATGCTGTGCTGCCACATGCTGTGCTGCCACATGCTATGCTGCCACATGCTATGCTGCCACATGCTATGCTGCCACATGCTATGCTGCCACATGCTGTGCTGCCACATGCTATGCTGCCACATGCTGTGCTGCCACATGCTATGCTGCCACATGCTATGCTGCCACATGCTATGCTGCCACATGCTATGCTGCCACATGCTATGCTGCCACATGCTGTGCTGCCACATGCTGTGCTGCCACATGCTATGCTGCCACATGCTGTGCTGCCACATGCTATGCTGCCACATGCTATGCTGCCACATGCTATGCTGCCACATGCTATGCTGCCACATGCTGTGCTGCCACATGCTATGCTGCCACATGCTATGCTGCCACATGCTATGCTGCCACATGCTGTGCTGCCACATGCTGTGCTGCCACATGCTATGCTGCCACATGCTGTGCTGCCACATGCTGTGCTGCCACATGCTGTGCTGCCACATGCTATGCTGCCACATGCTATGCTGCCACATGCTATGCTGCCACATGCTATGCTGCCACATGCTATGCTGCCACATGCTATGCTGCCACATGCTATGCTGCCACATGCTGTGCTGCCACATGCTATGCTGCCACATGCTGTGCTGCCACATGCTGTGCTGCCACATGCTATGCTGCCACATGCTGTGCTGCCACATGCTATGCTGCCACATGCTGTGCTGCCACATGCTGTGCTGCCACATGCTATGCTGCCACATGCTATGCTGCCACATGCTATGCTGCCACATGCTATGCTGCCACATGCTATGCTGCCACATGCTGTGCTGCCACATGCTATGCTGCCACATGCTGTGCTGCCACATGCTGTGCTGCCACATGCTGTGCTGCCACATGCTGTGCTGCCACATGCTATGCTGCCACATGCTGTGCTGCCACATGCTATGCTGCCACATGCTGTGCTGCCACATGCTGTGCTGCCACATGCTATGCTGCCACATGCTGTGCTGCCACATGCTGTGCTGCCACATGCTGTGCTGCCACATGCTGTGCTGCCACATGCTATGCTGCCACATGCTATGCTGCCACATGCTGTGCTGCCACATGCTGTGCTGCCACATGCTGTGCTGCCACATGCTGTGGCTGTGCGCACATGCTGTGCTGCCACATGCTGTGCTGCCACATGCTGTGCTGCCACATGCTGTGCTGCCACATGCTATGCTGCCACATGCTGTGCTGGCCACATGCTGTGCTGCCACATGCTGTGCTGCCACATGCTGTGCTGCCACATGCTGTGCTGCCACATGCTGTGCTGCCACATGCTGTGCTGCCACATGCTGTGCTGCCACATGCTGTGCTGCCACATGCTGTGCTGCCACATGCTGTGCTGCCACATGCTGTGCTGCCACATGCTGTGCTGCCCACATGCTGTGCTGCCACATGCTGTGCTGCCACATGCTGTGCTGCCACATGCTGTGCTGCCACATGCTGTGCTGCCACATGCTGTGCTGCCACATGTGTGCTGCCACATGCTGTGCTGCCACATGCTGTGCTGCCACATGCTGTGCTGCCACATGCTATGCTGCCACATGCTGTGCTGCCACATGCTGTGCTGCCACATGCTGTGCTGCCACATGCTGTGCTGCCACATGCTGTGCTGCCACATGCTGATGCTGCCACATGCTGTGCTGCCACATGCTGTGCTGCCACATGCTGTGCTGCCACATGCTATGCTGCCACATGCTGTGCTGCCACATGCTGTGCTGCCACATGCTATGCTGCCACATGCTGTGCTGCCACATGCTGTGCTGCCACATGCTGTGCTGCACATGCTGTGCTGCCACATGCTGTGCTGCCACATGCTGTGCTGCCACATGCTGTGCTGCCACATGCTGTGCTGCCACATGCTAGTGCTGCCACATGCTGTGCTGCCACATGCTGTGCTGCCACATGCTGTGCTGCCACATGCTGTGCTGCCACATGCTGTGCTGCCCACATGCTGTTGCTGCCACATCTGTGCTGCCACATGCTGTGCTGCACATGCTGTGCTGCCACATGCTGTGCTGCCACATGCTGTGCTGCCGACATGCTGTGCTGCCACATGCTGTGCTGCCACATGCTGTGCTGCCACATGCTGTGCTGCCACATGCTGTGCTGCCACATGCTGTGCTGCCACATGCGTGTGCTGCCACATGCTGTGCTGCCACATCTGTGCTGCCACATGCTGTGCTGCCACATTGCTGTGCTGCCACATGCTGTGCTGCCACATGCTGTGCTGCCACATGCTGTGCTGCCACATGCTGTGCTGCCACATGCTGTGCTGCACATGCTGTGCTGCCACATGCTGTGGCTGCCACATGCTGTGCTGCCACATGCTGTGCTGCCACATGCTGTGCTGCCACATGCTGTGCTGCCACATGCTGTGCTGCCACATGCTGTGCTGCCACATGCTGTGCTGCCACATGCTGTGCTGCCAACATGCTGTGCTGCCACATGCTGTGCTGCCACATGCTGTGCTGCCACATGCTATGCTGCACATGCTGTGCTGCCACATGCTGTGCTCGCCACATGCTGTGCTGACACATGCTGTGCTGCCACATGCT